ACCCCTCCTCCTCTCCTCTTCACCCTGCCTCCATCTGCCTTCCAATTTCTTCCCGCTGCCATATTGCCGCCACCAGTGCTAGGTCCTGGGGGATGTGCGCGTTCATCGCAGGAGCCTTTCCGATCGAAGGCAGCCACCGGGACCTAGGGCGGCCAAACCTCCATTCCTTTACTTTCATAAAATACTCAACTTCCTGTTTATCGGTCTTCCCAAATTGAAATCTTCTTGCTGACTTTACCAGGATCCTCTTTTATGATGTTGCCCGGTCCGTGTACTTTTTAGTTCAAAAATTTTCTATTTTTAATGAAAATTGAAAATTGCAAAAAGGTCTATTTTGCACTATCAGGCACACCGGCAATTTACAAAATGACCATTTTGGCTTTTTTCATTTTATTATAAGACATGTAACAAAATAATAACCCGGATTTGGGAACTAGAAAATACAATAATTAAACCTTTTTATTTGCTATTTATAGATTTCGGGCAGCAATCGATTACCCGGAAGTGAAAACTAGTTTTTTTTTTACTTCAGCCCTATTCGCACTGGATGTCATACCTGTGGACCCCTGATAATGTGTGATAATCGCGGGGAGGTGTGAGATCTTGCAGTCCATTCACACGGGATTAGCAAGTCCATAAATGACTATATTTTCTCTGACATCCTCACCGCTCTCTCCGCTTCCACGCAGTTCATTAAAGACTTGGCGTCTGACCACAGCATCAGGAGAGACCACTGAAGACAATACACCATACATTATATAACATACACTCAACAAAAATATAAATGCAACACTTTTGTTTTTGCTTCCATTTTCCATGAGATGGACTTAAAGATCTAAATGTATGTATTGTTTATTTGGTTGGAAAAGTACATGTTAATGAACACATCACTCCTGATTGTAGCCATGGAATAATTTGCATCCGTTGTCCCACATTCACACTCACAAACACACACTCATTCACCCTGAACTATTGCACATGTTTTTAGTGGTAGTGGACACAGGGAGAACATGCAAACTCCACTCAGAAAGGCCCTGTTCCGACTGGGATTCGATCCTAGAACCTTCTTGCTGAGAGGCGAGAGTGCTATCCTCTCAGCCACCATGCCGCCCAAATTCATTTCAGATACACAATTACCATTTCTCTCAATCATTGTTCACAAATCTGTCTAAATGTGTGATAGTGAGCACTTCTGCTTTTCTGAAATAATCCATCCCACCTCATAGGTGTGTCACATCAAGATGCTGATCTGGCTTCATGATTAGTGCTCAGCCTTAGACTGTCCACAATTAAAGGCCACTCTGAACTCTCTTTTGGGGGTCTGGAGACTCAGAACCAGTCAGTATCTGGTGTGACCACCATTTTTGTCATGCAGTGCTAGACATCTTCTTCACAGTTTATCAGATTGTCAATTGTGGCCTGTGGGATGTTGGTCCACTCCACTTCAATGGCTGTGCTGCTGGATATCAGTGGGAACTGGTGTACGCTGTCGTATACGCCGGTCAAGCACATCCCAAACATGCTCAATGGGTGACATGTCCAGTGAGTATGCTGGCAATGCAAGAACTGGGACATTTTCAGCTTCCAAGAATTGTGTACAGATCCTTGCAACATGTGGCCGTGCATTATCTGCTGATACATGAGCTGATGTTCATGGATGTATGGGCCTCAGGATCTCATCACGGTATCTCTGTGCATTCACAATGCCATCAATAAAATGCACCTGAGTTCATCGACCATAACATATGCCTGCCCATACCATAACCCCACCACCACCATGCGCCATACCATAAAGCCACCACCACCATGGGCCATACCATAACCTAGGGCTGGGCGATAAAACAATAACGATATATATTGCAATAGACACGTGTTCGATATCAATCAAAAACGGCGTTGATAGAACTTTTGATAGTTTAACTTCACTCCGTTCGAAAAAACGGGAACAAAACACAGGAAGTAAAGCCGAGTCAGAAGCACGCTGCATTCTGGGGGATGTAGGCAGACTCTTCTCAACCTACAGTGCCTTGCGAAAGTATTCGGCCCCCTTGAACCTTTCAACATTTCGCCACATTTCAGGCTTCAAACATAAAGATATAAAATTTTAATTTTTGTCATGAATCAACAACAAGTGGGACACAATCGTGAAGTGGAACAAAATGTATTGGATAATTTAAACTTTATTAACAAATAAAAAACTGAAAAGTAGGACATGCAATATTATTCGGCCCCTTTACTTTCAGTGCAGCAAACTCAGTCCAGAAGTTCAGTGAGGATCTTTGAATGATCCAATGTTGTCCTAAATGACTGATGATGATAAATAGAATGCATCTGTGTGTAATCAAGTCTCCGTATAAATGCACCTGCTCTTTGATAGTCTCAGGGTTCTGTTTAAAGCGCAGAGAGAACCATGAAGACAAAGGAACACACCAGGCAGGTCCGAGATACTGTTGTGGAGAAGTTTAAAGCCGGATTTGGATACAAAAAGATTTCCCAAGCTTTAAACATCTCAAGGAGCACTGTGCAAGCAATTATATTGAAATGGAAGGAGTATCAGACCACTGCAAATCTACCAAGACCCGGCCGTCCCTCCAAACTTTCATCTCAAACAAGGAGAAGACTGATCAGAGATGTAGACAAGAGGCCCATGATCACTCTGGATGATCTGCAGATAACTACAGCTGAGGTGGGAGAGTCTGTCCATAGGACAACAATCAGTCGTACACTGCACAAATCTGGCCTTTATGGAAGAGTGGCAAGAAGAAAGCCATTTCTCAAAGATATCCATAAAAAGTCTCGTTTAAAGTTTGCCACAAGCCACCTGGGAGACACACCAAACATGTGGAAGAAGGTGCTCTAGTCAGATGAAACCAAAATCGAACCTTTTGGCCACAATGCAAAACGATATGTTTGGCGTAAAAGCAACACAGCTCATCACCCTGAACACACCATCCCCACTGTCAAACATGGTGGTGGCAGCATCATGCTTTGGGCCTGCTTTTCTTCAGCAGGGACAGGGAAGATGGCTAAAATTGATGGGAAGATGGATGGAGCCAAATACAGGACCATTCTGGAAGAAAACCTGTTGGAGTCTGCAAAAGACCTGAGACTGGGACAGAGATTTATCTTCCAACAGGACAATGATCCAAAACATAAAGCCAAATCTACAATGGAATGGTTCACAAATAGACGTATCCAGGTGTTAGAATGGTCAAGTCAAGGTCCAGACCTGAATCCAATCGAGAATCTGTGGAAAGAGCTGAAGACTGCTGTTCACTAACGCTCTCCATCTAACCTCACTGAGCTCGAGCTGTTTTGCAAGGAAGAATGGGCAAGAATTCCAGTCTCTCGATGTGCAAAACTGATAGACATACTCCAAGCGACTTGCAGCTGTAATTGCAGCAAAAGGTGGCGCTACAAAGTATTAGCGCAAGGGGGCCGAATAATATTGCATGCCCCACTTTTCAGTTTTTTAATTGTTAAAAAAGTCTTAACATCTGCCTCATTTTGGCTCGTGCACAATGGTTGGGCATACCCAAATGTCTTTGCTTATTTAAAAACACATCTTACATCTCACATGCTTGTGTGATGCATCATTTTAAAGCTAGAGCCTTCTAGTTTATGTAAAAAAAACACTAAAATAATGTTTGTCATTCCTATTTTCCTCTGCATCCTTTGAAGTTAGGGAAAAAAACCCAATTTTTTTAGCCTCGCCTAACATTTTCAATTTCTAAAGGCCCTAAAAAAGGCATACTTCATTGTAAGTTCACAATATTCAAACCCTCTGTTCATTGTGTTGTTGACAACAACTGTCTAAAGTTTCAGACTTCTAAGTTTTATAGTTTTTATGCAGTTTCTCCTTTTCATCAAGTAGTGCACATTTGGCACAATTTGGCACAAGTGTGCCAAATTGTGCCAAATATCTTTACTTACATTTAATCATCATAAAAACAATATTTTTTATGTGTGTGTTTTTCTTTTTTAAATGTCAAAGTTATTTTTTTATGAGTGTAAATTCATTGCAGCTTCGAGAGCGTCTTTTGGCTTCCATTACGCACAATTCCACAGGCACAACATAAGACAGGACACCATTGTCCCACCCCTTGTTCGAAAGCTTTCCTCATTGGCTACAAGGACATGTCAGTCGTAAATCCCGGAAGTAAAAGCAAACAAGTTGGGATCACAACAAAGATCAGAGAACCATGCGCAAACAGCAGCACTAGCTGTACTTACGGGACCTCTTGCAGACCCAAAAATTGGTCTAGCTTTTCGGGAGTAGTCTCATTTGAAAGATAAGGAGCTAAGGAACACGTAGATACCAGATGTTTGGGTGAAAAACAAAGCTAAAAGTCCGTTAAAAGTGAAAGAGTAACATCTGTGCTCTTTTTTTTCGTTTTTTTCGCTAAAGATAAATGCACATTTTTGGATTATTTCTGCAGAATGGATTTTACTTTGGGAAATACAAGTGGATATAATTTTCCTTTGGACTGTTCCAGAGAGAATGATGTATTGCAAGCTGGGAAGAGAGCTTATTTATTTGTACAGCACAAGCTCAAAGGTAAAAAACTATTTCCGAATTGATTTATTTTGTGCCCACATTATGTGTTATATCTTTTGAATGCAAAGTCTGATGTAGTTTACACTTGTATATAAATGTAGATAAGAAAATAAGCTTTAAAATGATATACAGCTTTTGGGGTTTGGTGTTCAAAATACATCTGCTATTGCCAGCAGAACATTTAAAAACATAAAAACGGCCGCCGGCGCGCCGGTTGTTGTTAAGTGGTTAAATTATCCAATACATTTCGTTCCACTTCACGATTGTGTCCCACTTGTTGTTGATTCATGACAAAAAATAATTTTTTTATATATTTATGTTTAAAGCCTGAAATGTGGCGAAATGTTGAAAGGTTCAAGGGGGCCGAATACTTTCGCAAGGCACTGTATCTCCAGATAGATGGATTCTGCAACATTGAATTGAAACATTGGATTCAGCCAGTATGAGTAAGCACACCCCTGTCCTGTGTCCTTTGTCCTCTCCCCTGACAAACGGGAAGCCCCTAAATTTAATTTGAAAATGGAAAAATGACAAATGATAACTTTCACTAGCCTGGCTCTGTCAGACCCATGTAGTTCTGCCATGTTCCACCAGAGGCGTTTGGCCTCTGGTGGAACATGGCAGAACTACATGGATAGGATTTTTATTTCAGAAGGTAGGGCCTTGTATGTGATTGGATAAACCACTTGTCCGTTTTCTTGAATGACGTCTGCTTTCAACACGACTCCCATAGGTTGCCAAATGCCGGCAAGATTTTCCAGCCCAAAATCCGCGAGAATGCCCAAAAAAAACCCACTCAGAATTATTTTTGGGCTAAAAACGTGATGTAATCAACTTAGGCTATCATGATTATTGTCTTTCTGTTAATTTATTACCTACAAGTCTCTTGGAAAAAAGTATGCGGGAAACCACCCAACCTGGCAACCCCGCTGCATATTGTTGTAAACAGAAACAGGAACCAGTGCTTCAACCAAACTTCACATGGACATTTGACTCTTTAAACACACATATATCAACATAGAACCATCAACATCTCGCCTCAAATTGCATTAAAAGTGACATCCGTGACATTCGTTCATATTTAAACTTTTATAAAGACTTGCGGTCCGCCATCTTGGATTCCTCTTGCTGCTGCATGAGAGAAGCTTGAGAAGGCAGTGCAAACCCACGTAACACCGGCGATCCTGATTGGTTGATTAAAAAATTATCTTCTGAAGGAGTTCGGTATAGCGTAGAGCCCAGACCGATGTGGTTCAGCCAACCGCCTCTGGTGGAGCATGGTGGAACTACATGGGTCTAGCAGAGCCAGGCTAAACTTTCACTCATGTCGGTTGGAAAACTATTCCTCCCCGGTCGTTTTAACGATGTTCCTCAAAATCGCTACACATCGTCTAAACACACGTACCATCATTTTGATCTCGTCAAATTTTGATAAGTTAAACGTTGTTCGAGCAGCGGAGCGACAAAATGTGACTTTTTTTCCCCCATTTTTGACAATAGTAAATTCTCTCCTGTCTGCACATACAAATCACGATTCGCACAACATTTTCATCCATTGTTCCACTCCAGGGTCTAGGTCATTTGAAAGTGAAATAAATTTAAATTGGCCCATTAGCGCCCCCTACAGACCATTTCACAGTTTTACATGGGGACAATCACATTTTGTTTTTTAAAAATGTTTTAAATTTACATGGGGAGCCAAAACAACTGATAATATTGTTCTATGGCTACGGGAGCAAATAATGGTGCGACGGTGCCACCTCCTTTGCTCGGTGCAGCAAGGGCCGTTCGACGCTGCTTGCGGCTTTAATACAATATTATTTTTAGTTTCAATTCACTTTGGTCAGAAAAAAAGACATCACTCATTGATGAATGGGCCATCACACACATGTGTGTGACTCTGTTGTGTGTCCACAGATAATCGCACGTACCACTTCCAGACGGAGGACGAGCAGGAGTGTCTCATGTGAGTCTGCACTTTAATAACATTTTATATTTGGACAAAACCTCCAGGAGCCTGGATGACCTTTTCTGACTGATACCATTGTGTCCTGTGTGCAGCTGGATGTGGGTTCTGCAGAACAGTAAAGAGGAGGCTCTGAACACGGCTCTAGGAGGAGAGCAGCTTCAGGGAGGAGGGCTCCAGGAGCTGTCCCGCTCCATCATCACTGAACTGAGGCACATGCCGGGGAACGAGGCCTGTGCCGACTGCGGAGCGCCAGGTTAGACATGACAGCTTCCCTACTCTATCCTACTCTACTCTACCCTACCCTACCCTACTCTACTCTACCCTACCCTACCCTACTCTTCTCTATCCTGCTCTACCCTACTCTACTCTACCCTATCCTACTCTACCCTACTCTACTCTACTGTACCCTACTGTACTCTACCCTACCCTACTCTACTCTACCCTACTCTACCATACTCTACTCTACCCTACCCTACCCTCCCCTCCCCTACTCTACCCAACTCTGCCCTACCCTACCCTACTCTTCTCTACTCTTCTCTACTCTACTCTACTCTACTCTACCCGATTCTTCTCTACCCTACCCTACCCTACTCTACCCTATCCTACCCTACCCTACTCTACTCTACCCTACTCTACTCTACTGTACCCTACCCTACCCTACTCTACCCTTCTCTACCCTACCCTACTCTACTCTACTCTACTCTACCCTACTCTACCCTACTCTACCATACTCTACCCTATTCTACTCTACTCTACTCTACCCTACCCTACCATACCCTACCCTACTCTACTCTATCCTGCTCTACCCTACTCTACTCTACCCTATCCTACTCCACCCTACAGTACTCTACTCTACTCTACTCCACCCTACTCTACTCTACCCTACTCTACTCTACCCTACCCTACTCTAATCTACTCTACCCAACTCTACCCTACCCTACCCTACTCTACTCTTCTCTACCCTACTCTTCTCTTCTCTACTCTACTCTACCCTACTCTACCCGATTCTTCTCTAACCTATTATACGCTACCCTTCTCTACCCTACTCTACCATACTCTACCCTACCCTACCCTACTCTACCCAACTCTACCCAACTCTACCCTACCCTACCCTACTCTACTCTTCTCTACCCTACTCTTCTCTTCTCTACTCTACTCTACCCTACTCTACTCTACCCTACTCTACTCTACCCGATTCTTCTCTACCCTACCCTACTCTACTCTACCCTATCTTACTCTACCCTACCCTACTCTACCTTACTCTACTCTACCCTACCCTCCTCTACTCTACCCTATCCTACTCTACCCTACTCTACTCTACCCTACTGTACCCTACCCTACTCTACCCTTCTCTACCCTACTCTACCCTACCCTTCTCTACTCTACTCTACTCTTCTCTACTCTACTCTACTCTACTCTACTCTACCCTTCTCTACCCTATCCTACTCTACTCTACTCTACTCTACTCTACTCTACTCTACTCTACTCTACTCTACTCTACTCTATGAAGGTTAAATGTAGCACAAATGCCTTGTTGTATTTGATTGTTTTTGCTATCAGAGTTTACATTTACAGAGTTCACACACTGTTTAAAACTGGCTTGTTGTGGTCATTCAGTTATCTACCAGATTTTTTCTTTTTGTTATACTGAATGTTGAGGGCAGCTCTTTGATAATTGTTCCTCTTTGATAGTTCTTTTAGGTTAAGTTTATGATCAAGGTGAAATATTCAATACTGATGTGATTCTTACCTATGACCTAACTCAGTCTGTTAAGCAAAAGCCAAACAATATTTTTGGTCATGTTTAATTTAAAAAAAATGTTTTTTAAAGTAATACTGGTCGCAAAATCTTTCATGCCTTGAAAATATTGGAAAAAAATGGATTGGTATTGGATTGGTATCGGCAAAACAATATTTAAGAATATTGGAATCGGATCGGATTGCAAAAAATCTGGATCGGTACATCCCTACCCTACTCTACTCTACCCTTCCCTACTCTACCCTACCCATGCTTTCCCAATCTAAAACAGGGCTCTCAAACATGTGGGTTGTAAAGAGGTATTGTGTGGCCCCCTAGTGGACATCACAGTGTAGTGTCAGTGTGGCCCCGCTCACAGTCGGGGTAAATATAACATGATGCATCATTTTAAAGATCGTTTTACCAAGAAAACAACCACAGCATTTGTACTACACACTGAACTCTGAAGGCAACACGTCACTATTATTTTTATTATTTATATATTCATTAATGTGACTGTTTCATTTCTATGTCAGTGATTTTATGAAATCGTCTTTTAGTGTTGAAATTGGAGCAGTTAACCACGGCAACACACTGTTTACTATTACCAGTAAGGTTCAAGGTTCAACTTTATTGCCCCCTCAGGGAAATGTGTCGTAGGCTCAGAGCTGTTGGACACAAACACACAACACACTCTCAACATCAGCACAAACGTCTAAACAACATCAAGACAACAATATGCCACAATATTACACCGTCCCAGCGCAAGGATACAAATACATAATATATACTAGTAAAAGACCACTTATAAAAACAGCATTTACACAACAAGCAACAAAATACATACAATAACTAAAGTGCTAGTGTGGTGCAGATTAAGAAGTACATTACACTTGCCCCAACAAAGTGCTTGTGCATTTGGAAACACTAAAAGCATTGGACACTACCGATAAAGTTTGGTTTGTGTGTGTTGTGTGTATGTTTTGTGTGTGTGTGTGTTCTCTGACCCCCTCTCTCCTGTGACGCAGAGCCCACCTGGCTCTCCACGAACCTGGGCATCCTGACGTGTATCGAGTGCTCTGGGATCCACCGCGAGCTGGGAGTCCACTACTCCAGGATCCAGTCCCTCACACTGGACTTCCTCAGCACCTCCGAGCTCCTGGTAACACACACTTACACAGAGACACAGACACACACAAGCACACACACACACACACAGACATCTCAGAATTACACACAGAGAGAGACACATGTAGACACACTGACAGGCACACACACAGATACACGCAGTCACATACACACACACATGCAAACATACACAAAAATACATACAGACACAGAAGACATACACACACAAACACACACACATACACAGTCACATACACACACAGTCACATACAGACACACAGACACTCTCATACACATACACAAACACATACACAAACACACTCACAGACACACACAAAATAATGACAAAAACTTACTTCATACTTCGATTTGAGGCAAAATGTATCTTTATTTTTGTACACATTTGGAATGAGCCATTTTAACCATTTCTCTCTCTCTTTGCGTTGTGTGTCTGTAGCTCGCCGTCAGCATTGGCAACACACGCTTCAACGACATCATGGAGGCGGGGCTTCCCAACGACCTGGTCAAACCTCTGCCCAACAGCGACATGTGAGACACCAGCACAATAACCACATAACATTACACTACTGTTGGAGGACTGATTTGATTCTCTGATCACCAACAACAGATCAGAGAATCAAACAGTTTGTGCACAGCAAATGTAATAATAACAAACACCAAGGAGCCATCGGTCCATAGACCCAGGACTGAGGCTGTAGACCCAGGACTGAGGCTGTAGACCCAGGACTGAGGCTGTGGACCCAGGACTGAGGCTGTAGACCCAGGACTGAGGCTGTAGACCCAGGACTGAGGCTGTAGACCCTGGACTGAGGCTGTAGATCCAGGACTGAGGCTGTAGATCCAGGACTGAGGCTGTAGACCCAGGACTGAGGCTGTAGATCCAGGACTGAGGCTGTAGATCCAGGACTGAGGCTGTAGACCCAGGACTGAGGCTCTAGACCCAGGACTGAGGCTCTAGACCCAGGACTGAGGCTGTAGATCCAGGATTTAGGCTGAAATTGTGTGTTTGCTGAGGTGTTGTGTGTTTGCTGAGGTGTTGTGTGTTTGCTGATGTTGTGTTGTATGTTTTCAGGAACGCCAGGAAAGAGTACATCGTGTCCAAGTACGCAGAGCGGCGCTACGTCCTGAAGCACGAGGACTCGGAGGTCGGCTCCATCAGGCTGCAGCAGGCGGTCAGCAGCAGGGACCTGACTGCACTGCTGCAGCTGTACGCAGAGGGGGCCGACCTGGTCACTCTGCCCCCCCCAGACTCACCGGTCAGTACACCCCCAGACCAGGGACGTGCGGTGAGGTTTGTGATTGGGGAGGCACTGACTTTAAAAGTCAGATTTACAATCATTATTCAAATAAAATAGCATTTAATCACCAATGCAATGACATCCACAAACTTTATATACTGTAAAGATAAGAGAACCAGCTTCTTTTAATAATCTCACAACAAATCTAGCTGCTGACTCTGCTCCGCATCAAACAACATCTTTAAGAAGCGCAGGTGCGAGAGACGCGAGGAGAGAGAGACGCGAGGAGAGAGGAGCAGAGAGAGACAGAGAGGAGCAGAGAGACGGAGACGCGAGGAGCAGAGAGAGACAGAGACGCGAGGAGAGAGAGACGCGAGGAGAGAGAGACGGAGACGCGAGGAGAGAGAGACGAGAGAGAGAGAGACGGAGACGCGAGGAGAGAGAGACGCGAGGAGAGAGGAGCAGAGAGAGACAGAGAGGAGCAGAGAGACGGAGACGCGAGGAGCAGAGAGAGACGGAGACGCGAGGAGAGAGAGACGCGAGGAGAGAGAGACGCGAGGAACATAAACAATAATTTAAACAAGTTGCAGAACTCTTGAGCAGTGTTTGAATCAGTGTTTTTCGGAAAAGCACTACTTTGCCGGTATCTGTCAATGTTCAACATAAAACACAGATTAACAAACTCCTCCCCCGCAGCCGGACTAACCTCGTAAGTCCAGTGGTGGTCTCCCAGTCTATATTAATTCTTTCTTTGTTTGAAAGTCCAATTGAGAAAAAAAATCTTCATTCAAATCATCCATTTTCCAGCAAAAGAAATAGCATTTTGGGCTGATTGTTTGTTAGCAACTCTGGTATGAACTTTATGCTCACTATCACCCCTAGCGGTGAGGCACAGATACCGCCTGCCTCACGCCAAGCTTTTTCCTTGTGTGTTCATCTACGATCAAAAGACTTAAACTAAATATAAATTGTACACACATACGTGCAATACACTACTAAACACTAAGAGGAGTTTAAAAAATGTTTTTAAAGCAGGATATTTGAAACAAACGGTGATATATTCAACTGCACGAGCTGAGTGCACTCAGACACACACACACACACTGTGAGGGAGCGGTCTGGGGTGAGGCACGCAGGAGCGCTGCCTCACCTCGTCTCTTTGAATAGGAATAACGGGATTTCGGCGATTTTGACTTCAGAAATGATCAAAACTGATGGGAACCGTGCCGAATATACATTAAAAGCATAGGACAGTGGATATAAATTATATATTTAAACTAAAATAATTATTAGTTTCCAATAATGGCAGGTGAGGCTCTGCCTCCCCTGCCTCCCCTGACTGCACGTCCCTGCCCCAGACTCACCGGTCAGTACACCCCCAGACTCACTAGACCAGAGGTGTCCAAAGTGGGGCCCGCGGGCCAAAGTTGGCCCGCCGGACCATTTCAGTTGGCCCGCCAAACATTGCCCACCTCTGTTGAAAGTTTCTAACTGCGTCCCTCAGCCTCGCTGACCACACTCATACATGTCTGAGATCGCGCAGGCGCACCAACGCCCTCTAGCCTGCCACTGTCCAGTATTTAACTGTTGTATGGAGATACACTCCTCACTCATGGTTCACATCAACTTGCACTAAAATGTTTTTTTAAAATCAAACACATCTTTCAAAACAATTGGGTGCAAGGCGGCACCTTTGTTCTTTTTTTTCAGCCTACTATTATTGTTTTTTTGAGAAATTTAATGTTTTATCAAATTGAGAGGATTGTGCTGGTGAACTGCCACTCCCCCTCCTCACCGGAGGGAAATGGCGAGTGGAACTATTCACCTTCGCAATCCGCACCCACCCGGTGTGTTAAAAAGGACGGACACAAACACTCCTGAGTTCAAGCAGGACAAGCAAGGATCGCAGCGCACGATCCAAGCAAGTAGAAGCAACAAATACTGTGCAAAACAAACTCTTCTAAAACCCCATGAAAGAAGCCGGTAAGCACCGTCCTCACTCGCGATCATTGAATGTCAGAACTTACGCTGAGTTTTATGATGCGTTCAAGAGCCCTTTGGAGGAGCGGAAACACGGACTCTTTAACAGTTACTTTGTTTTGATTGTTTAGAAATGTTGTACTGTGTTTAGCCATAACAAAACAAATCATGGTTAACTAGTCTGATTTTGTTAGTTTAATATTCAGTTCACTACTAATTGAGAATACTTGCCCTATGCTAAAAATATTAAGTTAAAACAGAGTTAAAACCTGATCATGTTTAGAAAATGCAGTTAGCAATTATGTTCCCAAATTCATTACTTAATGTTAAAATGTATTGTTTAAAAGTGTGCTAAAACCAGATCTACTGATCAGTGATGTCTCCCCTTTTTGATAAAAGCTAAGATAAAGTAATATGATTCAAATGTAATTAAAAACATTTGTTCAAAATAAATATATGAAAATAGTCTTTACTTTTGTAAAGTAAATGTCATTAGTACAATAAACCTATACATTATAAATCACTGTACTATAGTAATGCAAAACTGTTGAGAAAAAGGTCTTCAACAAACACATGAGCAGGTTAAAAATATAGATTACTTAATTTGGGAGTATGATATTATTTAATATAAATTAGTACTTTCATTTACTAGCAGGCACATTATTTGTTCACAAGTATCCTTTAAAAAACTGTTTATTTACATAGAAAATGTATGTTTCTGTTCTTTTTGAGGTTTTTCACCTGAACCTGAAACCAAGCTAAACGCAGTAAATGGCATGAAAACCAAGACCCACGGCTGCTTATCGAGTGAAGTCCAGTTGGAATTCATATGTACAGGGTTTATCCCTTTCAAGTGGGGAATTTGCACGAGCTAGAAAACCACCAAACAACTTGACTCCCTTGAGCCTCTCCGCTTGTAGGAAAGTGCGCCCCTAGTGTTAGCTTTCTGTTTTATATGATTTTATATGATTTTAAGCTGTAAATAAGCCATGACAGAAAATCTCCCTCCTCTGGACCCTGATTACCCGGCCGGAATCTTTCCGTACTGTAGTCTCCTCAAACTTGCATATTTCCCAGGAGCCTCCACTTCACTGTGTTGTTTTCATTCATTCAACTGTGATTTGCACTGATAGACAATAATTAATGCATTTAAAAGAACTTGATCGAATCTACATTTATTTGTGTTTCATGCGTAATATCTGTGTATTTGGCCCGCGGCCCACTGGCAAATTTTTACTTTGGCCCTTGGAAGCAAAAGGTTTGGGCACCCCTGCACTAGACGGTAAAGCCTGGTTCACATAAGATGATTTTAAAATTGTCGACCGATTTTCCTAACCTGAGAGACCCCACACATGGAGATAAAAAATCAAGGGTCAAACCACTTTGGTCGTACAGTGTGTGGTGCGCAGCCACACGGCAAAGTCACGCAAACCACACACATCACACACGAACCGATTTCACCCCCGAGCATTCCCAGGTCAGACGGAAATCTCACAAAATCTCTCGAGATCAAGCGTGACTTCAAAGTAAACAATCATAGAGGACGAAGAGGATGCAGTGGCGATAGTTTGTGTTGCCACTAGTTGGTCCTCCATCTCCGATGTCCACCGGACTTTCTGGTGCGCCATGACGCTGACTTTTATTATTTTTTTCCTGTGTTTCCTCTCCGCCTCGTCTCTTCAAAATTGGGCCAAAAAAATCCAACATGTTGGATATCCCCGATTTGAGATCGGAGCAGTCCTGAAGTCCTTCTGAGCGACGAGTGCAGTCTTAACACACCACACATGGAAAATCCATCAGATTATTTTATTTGAATATCTGAGCATTTTTAAGATTGTCGTCAGGGATAAATTGGGTCTTAAATCGGCCTAATTATCCTGCCGTGTGAACCAGGCTTAAGGCGAGGCATCAAAATCTATTTATTCTTGTATATCCCTAAATCACAACATTAGTATCTTGAGGACTTTAAAAAACTGTCAGTTCTCCCAACACAGATCAAAGAATCAAACAGTTCAAACACAAGAAATGCAATGACAACAAACACATAGAGACATTGGTGCATAAGGGGCAGAGACCAATGTCCATAAATGTGGTTGAATGTGGAGTGTCCTGGATCCACTGTCCTCGGACCCTCAAGCTGTAGAACGAGGACCGAGACTGAGGCTGTAGATCCAGGACTCAGGCTGTAGAACGAGGACCGAGGCCACATGCAGGACCGGGGCAGCTCAGTCCTGCTTGTGGCCTCCATAAAAAAAAGAATCATAAATAATCCCAGTACTTTAAAAAGAATAAAAAGATACAATCCCTCAATTGTATGAGGAACCTAACCTGGATTTGAAGAAGCCTGTCTCACATTTTCAGGAAGTTGTCTGTACCTGTAATGTATTCATGGACTGTTGGGTGTCTGTCGCTGCAGAAGCTGAAGGAGACGTCTCTGCACCTGGCCGTGCGGCTGGAGGACAAGAGCTCGCTGGCCCTGGTCGACTTCCTCTGTCAGAACAGGTCCGACCCCTGGACACTTAGTACGAATCGCCCTCAGCATCATCATGGGGCAGAGTTTATACCACGTCTGTTTGTGTCTCCCTGAATAAAACAGTCTCATAATAATGATAATAATAATAATGCATCAGCTTTATATCGCGCTTTTCAAATTCTCAAAGACGCTTCACAATTCAGGACACACACACACACACATAATTAGACAGACACACAAAACAAAAAATCTAAAAGCAGGAAAGAAGAGTACAAAGCTGAAACTAAGAGTCGTATGTTTGGAGGAAGAGATGAGTTTTAGCTGTTTTTTGAAGGAGTTTAGTGTGTCTTAGTTTCTGAGATGAGGGGGAAGAGAGTTCCAGAGAGTGGGGGCAGAGATCCCCCAAGGTCCGGTGCTTGCATTTGACGGTGGGAGTGAGGAGGAGTGAGTCTGCAGATCGGAGTCGACGGGAGGGACTGTAGGGCTGTAGAAGTTCAGTGAGGTTTGGAGGAGCGAGGTCATGGAGGAGGATTTTGAAATGGATGCTGTTTGAAGCGGAGCCAGTGGAGTTTATGAAGGACAGGGGTGATGTGTTCTCTGGAGCGGGTCTGAGTGATGAGGCGGGCGGCAGAGTTTCGGACATATTGCAGTTGTTGGAGATCAGATGAAGGAAGGCCGTAGAAAAGACTGTTGCAGAAATCGAGTCTGGAGGATATGAAAGCGTGGATCAGGGTTTCAGCAGCGGTGGAGGACAGATACGGGCGAAGACGGGCAACGTTTTTAAGATGAAAGAAGGCAGTTTTGGTGATGTTGCGGATGTGGGGCTTGAAGGAAAGGGTCCTCATTCAATAGGAACCATTTTTACTGATTAACCAATAGAAACAGAGATAGATGGATGCTTTATTGATCCCAGCAGGAGAAATGCAGGTGTCCGGTAGCAGCAGACACACATGCATTCACACAAACAACATATAAGAAAGGACAATAATATCAAAATGCAACAGCACTTTAGGTCACAGCAGCAGAGGTGGAGCAGCTCTGGTCCAACGTGAGATGCTGAATGCTTTGTTTTTGATAAAGTTAGCATTCCTCCAGTGGATTTTCGCCTGATGGGCTTGTTTTCAACTCTGACCCTTCACATGTCTCCATATATAGAATTCTGTAGTCCAACAATTCTGTGTTTGGCGTCTCCAGTGTCAGAAGGTCCAGTTCTCCTTGAGTTCTTGGCCTCCTTGTGTTGACATCTTTTTGGTACAGACCTCCTCAAAATCCTTCTGTCAGTACTTTTTACAAAACAGCTGCTATCTCATCTCATGTAGGGATAGACGGATAGACAAATAGACGGATAGATACAGATAGACAGATATAGATACTTTATTGATCCCCGTAGGAGAAAATGAGGTGTCCAGTAGCAGCAAAATTAAAAAAATAAAGTTGATCATTCTAAGATAGTGCTGTACATATATTTATACCTGGATATGATTGTTTTATTCATTGGTTGATTTACAAAAACAAGTGCATAAGTAACGTGTATTGTTTTAAGAGTCCTCACAGTGTGTTGTGTTCTGTGTGCGGTGCGTTTGTGTGTGTGTGTTGTGTTGTTTGCTGCAGTAACTGTGTGGAGAAGAGGAACGGCGAGGGGAGCACGCCGCTGCACTGCGCCGTCCTGCATCACAGACCAGAGTCTCTGAAGCTGCTGCTCAAAGCTAAGGCTGCTCTGCACACAGGTAGATCCAGGACTGAGGCTGTAGACCCAGGACTGAGGCTGTAGATGCAGGACTGAGGCTGTAGACCCAGGACTGAGGCTGTAGACCCAGGACTGAGGCTGTAGATGCAGGACTGAGGCTGTAGACCCAGGACTGAGGCTGTAGACCCAGGACTGAGGCTGTAGATCCAGGACTGAGGCTGTAGACCCAGGACTGAGGCTGTAGATGCAGGACTGAGGCTGTAGACCCAGGACTGAGGCTGTAGACCCAGGACTGAGGCTGTAGACCCAGGACCGAGACTGTAGACCCAGGACTGAGGCTGTAGACCCAGGACTGAGACTGTAGACCCAGGACCGAGGCTGTAGACCCAGGACTGAGGCTGTAGACCCAGGACCGAGACTGTAGACCCAGGACCGAGGCTGTAGACCCAGGACTGAGACTGTAGACCCAGGACCGAGGCTGTAGACCCAGGACTGAGGCTGTAGACCCAGGACTGAGACTGTAGACCCAGGACCGAGGCTGTAGACCCAGGACTGAGACTGTAGACCCAGGACCGAGGCTGTAGACCCAGGACCGAGGCTGTAGACCCAGGACTGAGGCTGTAGACCCAGGACTGAGACTGTAGACCCAGGACTGAGGCTGTAGACCCAGGACTGAGGCTGTAGACCCAGGACCGAGGCTGTAGACCCAGGACCGAGGCTGTAGACCCAGGACCGAGGCTGTAGACCCAGGACCGAGGCTGTAGACCCAGGACCGAGGCTGTAGACCGAGGCTGTAGTCCCAGGGCCGAGGCTGTAGACCCAGGACCGAGGCTGTAGACCCAGGACTGAGGCTGTAGATCCAGGACTGAGGCTGTAGATCCAGGACTGAGGCTGTAGATCCAGGACTGAGGCTGTAGACCCAGGACTGAGGCTGTAGACCCAGGACTGAGACTGTAGACCCAGGACTGAGACTGTAGACCCAGGACTGAGGCTGTAGACCCAGGACCGAGGCTGTAGACCCAGGACCGAGGCTGTAGACCCAGGACCGAGGCTGTAGACCCAGGACTGAGACTGTAGACCCAGGACCGAGGCTGTAGACCCAGGACCGAGGCTGTAGACCCAGGACCGAGGCTGTAGACCCAGGGCCGAGGCTGTAGACCGAGGCTGTAGACCCAGGGCCGAGGCTGTAGACCCAGGGCCGAGGCTGTAGACCGAGGCTGTAGACCCAGGACTGAGGCTGTAGACCCAGGGCCGAGGCTGTAGACCCATGGATGTATTATATTAACTGGATAGGGTATTACTAGCTTGTAGCTGAATAACCCATGTGCTCAGGGGATTCTCGCGGTACTGCAGACTGAACCAGACTAAATTCACGTGGGCTACCCAGAAATTTTCCCCATAGGACTCAATGCATATTAAAACAGCTCAACCTCAGCTGACAGAGAACCTACAGCTTTAATAAAGATCGGATTTTGTGGGGATTTTAGTGTCCCTTGTCATCCTGAACTTTTTTTCTTCTTAAATCCTTCGGTTTTGTTTAAATCCACACTTTAGTGCCACAAACTCTGCTCCTCTGGCTCTCGCTCTAACGCCCGCTCTGATGAACTGCTCTGATTGGTCAGAGCGCGGCCGAGCCCCTCTGTGCACGTGCGTGAGACCCGGTGTGAGACCCACACACGCGTGTTTGGCGCAACGCATTATGGGAGATCATCCACTGCGCAGAACCGGGAGGACCAGACGATGCCCAAATACAGGCGAGTTTCCCATAGATCTTTGCGAGTTTCAGGCAACTTCCGCTAATCTTTCAGCCCCCATGCCGTCACAAAGCGCCACTGAGCACAACCATTCATTTGAATAGGGCGCCATCTTGGATCGCCGGGGCTTGTGTAGACCCAGGACCGAGGCTGTAGACCCAGGGCCGAGGCTGTAGACCGAGGCTGTAGACCCAGGACCGAGGCTGTAGACCCAGGGCCGAGGCTGTAGACCGAGGCTGTAGACCCAGGACTGAGGCTGTAGACCCAGGGCCGGGGCTGTAGACCCAGGACCGAGGCTGTAGACCCAGGACCGAGGCTGTAGACCCAGGACTGAGTCTTTCTTGTCCTCTGTCCTCAGTGAATGCCGCGGGGGAGACCGCTCTGGACTTGGCTCGCAGACTTCAACACACACAGTGCATTGAACTGGTGAGACACAGCTTTTACCACATACTTCCTTTTTGTATTTTGATAATTCAGTGCTTTAAAACTATAACTCTCGTTCAAATCAGTGGAGTTGAGATTCCCTAAAATTGTCATGAAAAGTAACGTTTTTTGGGGGGGGGGTTTCTACCGTAAGTCACTTTTAGTCACAAGTGCTAAAAGTGGTGAATGTAACTGAAGCAGCACAAACAGTTTGGTGAAAGGCTAACGCTAACAAGGTAATGCTAACTGCTGACAGTAAACAGTGTGTTGCCATGGTAACCAGCACTGCTTTTCTCTGGTGGCAGAGAGCAGAAAGAGTAGCAGAAAGAAAGAAACTGAAAATGGCTACATTTCATTTTAGAAAGATTATTCATAATAATAAAAAGATAGAAAAAAATTACTTTTATAAACAGAAAAAGTTCTGAAGACCAGAAATGTATGGAGTCATCACACTAAACTAAAGGCCGTCAAATTGACGGCTCTGGGAGTACTTCACACTCACGGTGCCTCGTGTGGCGTGTTGGTCAGAGAGATGGCAGCCTTAGTCCTTTCAGTTTGTCCCTGGGCAGCTGTGGCTACAGTACTCTCTTCTCCAGATGCAGATTGAATGAATAATGATCATTATTATTTATATCACAAAGGAGTCTTTTTTCAGGGTTTTCTGTTCGACAGCAGACAGATGTGTTTAAATAAAAAATACATGTTTTCTTGTAACATGCAGCAGCAGTTTTAGAGTCCAAAACAGAACTAAATAAGTTCTTTCAATTTGTATTCTTTATTCTCATTGTTCCTCTTCCTGTGTTGTGATTGGCTGCAGCTGGAGCTGGCGCAGAGCGGACAGTTGAACTCTCAGATCCACGTGGACTTCCTGTGGGAGAGTCCGGGTCAGGAGCTGTACGACAGCGAGGACGATCTGGACGAGAAGGTAACACCAGACATCAGGCACATGTTTCTGCAGAGACGCATAACCTGTACGAGTAGGACTAGTAGGAGTACTAGTAGGAGTAGGACTAGTAGGAGTACTAGTAGGAGTAGGACTAGTAGGAGTAGGACATTTTCCAAACCTCTGCCTCCCTCTCCCTGAAGGCGAGCCCGTCTCCCAAACACCACAGTTCTCCTGCAGCAGCCAATGGGAGCTCTGCGTTTGCCCGCTGGAGCGTGGGGAACTCTGGCCCCAGTCCCAGCAGCAGCCCTGGAACCCGGCCCTGTCAAACCTACGAGAACCTGGACTTCCTCTACAACAGCGCCCCCTCTGGAGGAGTGACGCCACCGCCGCCTCTGCCTGCCAAGTCCATACAGAGAGGTGAGAGCTCCTGCAGCACATGGCGTGGTGAAAGCATGTAGATGTTGAAAAGGGTCGGCCCCAGAACCGACCCCTGTGGGCTTAGACAGGAGACTGTGCGGGTCTTAGAGTATGTGGCCTTGGGGGAGTCTAAATCTATCAGTGAGAAAGGACCCAGGGATGTTTCTTTGACTGGAGGCCTGTTGAGCAGAAATGACCCTTTCCATGTCCTTATCCAGGAAGTGGAGGTTAGAGATGGGACAGTAATGTGCCAAAATGTCAGGTCGTCAGGAGACGTTTTTTAAGCTGAGAGACAAATATGGCTGTTTTTAGTGTTAGTGGGACGTGGGCGCTTTGAAGGGAGTGGTTCTTTGGCAGTGATAAGTGGGCTCACTTATTGCGGACGGGTGGTAAATGGGTCCATGGACATTTTCTGGAAAATTTCCTCAACTTCTTTCTTAGTAGCAGTAGAAAACTGAAACAACACACCTTCTGGATTTGCTAAAGGCCACTTCAGCTGCGGCAGAAGCAGAGAGTGAGGGGCAGGTTTTGTTTAAACTGTATTCTTCGTGTTCCACTGTTGTCTCTGCACGGAACACTGACCTCCCTCTGTGAAGCCCTGTTAACACTGAAGACCCGTATGAATGGGAGGTGTGTTTTTAGACCCGTGATGAACAGCGGGTTATGGCACATATACATTCATCTGATCTGTTAATGGCCACGTTTATGTCTCTGTTCTAATATGTTCGGACTTGTTTGTTGTCTTGCTCAGGCCGCTCCGACCCTCAGATCTCAGTCTCCTCTCAGGATGCCGCGGGGCCCCAGAGCACAGCGCCCCAGAGCTCAGCGCCCCAGAGCACAGCGCCCCAGAGCACAGCAGCACAGAGCACAGGGCCCCAGAGCCCCACAGGCTCCAGGTCCCAGGGGGGAGGGGCCCCTGGGTCTCCACAGAGCCAGGGTTGTCTGCAGAGCTCCAGGCAGAGGTCTGCAGGAGAGGCCCCAGCTGGAATAGGGGCACAACCTACTGCAGGAGCGACCAACTGCAAAGGACCAATCAGGTAAGGCCAAAAGTGCAACACACACAGACACGCACACGCACAAGCACACGCACACATAATAAAGAAGCAAGTATAAAATCTCTAAACCTCTTTTCCATCACAACTTTTCTTTGTGACTATTTCAAGCCAAATTGAGGTGTTTCACAGTTTGAAATAAGTAGAATCTGGTCTCCTTTGAATCTACCTGGTCTCCCTCTGTTGTCTCTCTCTGTTGTCTCTCTGGTTTCTCTCTGGTCTCTCTCTCTGGTCCCTCTGGTCTCTCTCTCTGGTCTCTCTCTCTCTGGTCTCTCTCTCTCTGGTCTCTCTCTCTGGTCTCTCTCTCTGGTCTCTCTCTCTGGTCTCTCTCTGGTCTCTCTCTCTGGTCTCTCTCTGGTCTCTCTCTCTGGTCTCTCTCTCTGGTCTCTCTCTCTGGTCTCTCTCTCTGGTCCCTCTCTCTGGTCCCTCTCTCTGGTCCCTCTCTCTGGTCCCTCTCTCTGGTCCCTCTCTCTGGTCCCTCTCTCTGGTCCCTCTCTGGTCTCTCTCTCTGGTCTCTCTCTGGTCTCTCTCTCTGGTCTCTCTCTCTGGCCTCTCTCTGGTCTCTCTCTCTGGCCTCTCTCTCTGGTCTCTCTCTGGTCTCTCTCTGGCCTCCCTCTGGTCTCTCTCTCTGGTCTCTCTCTGGTCTCTCCCTCTGGTCTCTCTCTCTGGTCTCTCCCTCTGGTCTCTCTCTCTGGCCTCCCTCTGGTCTCTCTCTCTGGTCTCTCTCTCTGGCCTCCCTCTGGTCTCTCTCTCTGGTCTCTCTCTCTGGTCTCTCTCTCTGGTCTCTCTCTGGTCTCTCTCTGGTCTCTCCCTCTGGTCTCTCTTTCTGGTCTCTCTCTCTGGTCTCTCTCTCTGGTCTCTCTCTCTGGTCTCTCTCTGGTCTCCCTCTGGTCTCTCTCTCTGGTCTCTCTCTCTGGTCTCTCCCTCTGGTCTCTCCCTCTGGTCTCTCTCTCTGGTCTCTCTCTGGCCTCCCTCTGGTCTCTCTCTCTGGTCTCTCTCTCTGGTCTCGCTTTCTGGTCTCTCTCTCTGGCCTCCCTCTGGTCTCTCTCTCTGGTCTCTCCCTCTGGTCTCTCTCTCTGGTCTCTCTCTGGCCTCCCTCTGGTCTCTCTCTCTGGCCTCCCTCTGGTCTCTCTCTCTGACTGATCCAGGCTCTCTGTGCTTCCAGTTCCAAGAAGACCACATCGTACCGTCGCAGTGTGGGACCGTCGAAGGTTCTGTCCCCCACTGCCCTGAGCGGTGCCCAGAGTCAGGAGGAGCTGCACTGTAGCCTTCATCCCTCCTCCTCCTCCACCTCTTCCTCCTCGTCCACCTCCTCCTCCTCCTCTGGGACAGCCCTGAACCCTGCTCCTCGCACTCGCAGGAACGCCATGGTAACCCCCCCTCTCTCTCTGGTCTGTGTGGGTCCTGTAAGAGGCCAAGGAAGTCTGCAGAAAAGTGATTGGAGAATGTATAAACACAAACCTTAACGATATCTTTGCATATATTTGTATAGGAATTATTTACTTCTTTTATGCATCTTTAAACCAAAAACATGCCAGTCAATCCTGCATTTGTGTCTCTCTGTTTCTGTGTGTGTCTCTCATGGATCTATAATAATAACTGGATAGAGTATTCCTAGTTTATAGCTGTCCCACCCACGGGCACAGGGGGCGCTGTGGTACTGCAGACTAAATTCACGTCCGCAACACAGAAAAAAGTCCCATAGAACTCAATGTAAACTAAAACAGCTCGACCTCAGCTGACAGAGAACCTGACAGAGAACCTGACAGAGAACCTGACAGAGAACCTGACAGAGAACCTACAGCTTTCATAAAGATCGGATTTTGTGGGGATATTAGTGTCCCTTGTCATCCTGGACTTTTCAATAAATCCACACTTAAGTTTAGTGCAACAAACTCTGCTCGATCGTCTCCTGCTCTGACTCCGCTTTGATCAGCAGTCCTGAGAGCCACACACGCGTATTTGGCACAAAGCATCATGGGAGCTCGTTCACGGCGCAGAACCAGGAGGACCAGCCAATGCCCAAATGAGTTCCGCTAATCTTTGCCCATGTATGTACCATGCAGTACTGAGCACAAGTCATTGATTTGAATAGGCCGCCATCTTGGATCACGGTGACTTGGTCTCTCTCTGTCTCTATGTTTGTCTTTCTATGCCTCTGTATGTGTCTCCGACCCGGTCTCAGTCGTTCTATCACTATCTATGCCTCTCTCTCTCTCTCTCTGTCTCTGTCTCTGTCTCTGTGTGTGTCTGTGTGTGTGTTACATACTGTACTGATTGTGTTGTGTACACATAGGTGTCCGGCTGCAGGCCTCACCACAGACGTGTGCGTGCTCTGGTCGACTGCAGAGCTGTGAGCGCAGAGCAGCTCTCCTTCTTCAAGGACGAGATCATTGTCGTCACAGGAAGTAGTGACCCCCACTGGTGGGTAAGTGTCACTGCATCATCTGTCGACAACATCGGTCTATAACTGAATGTTACACAGAACATTTAGGGATGGTTTCCAGGAAATACAAGTATCCTCCCGTCACTGTATCTGTAATGACTGATGCATGGCTCTCTTTTGGGCTCCAGTACAAGTCAAGATAAAACTTAATTGATCTCACAGTGGAGAAAGTTACATTTGGCATCAATAGGATCTGGTGTAAAAAGACCGGACGTTTGCACCGGACATGTACAAACAGTTAACCACTTAGCAACCACCAACCCGCCGGCGGGTTGTTTTTATGTTTTTAAATGTTCTGCTGGCAATAGCAGATGTATTTTGAACACCAAACCCCAAAAGCTGTATATCATTTTAAAGCTTATTTTCTTATCTACATTTACATACAAGTGTAAACTACATCAGACTTTGCATTCAAAAGACATAACACATAATGTGGGCACAAAATAAATCAATTCGGAAATAGTTTTTTACCTTTGGGCTTGTGCTGTACAAATAAATCAGCTCTCCTCCCAGCTTGCAATACATCATTCTCTCTGGAACAGTCCAAAGGAAAATTATATCCACTTGTATTTCCCAAAGTAAAATCCATTCTGCAGAAATAATCCAAAAATGTGCATTTATCTTTAGCGAAAAAAACGAAAAAAAAGAGCACAGATGTTACTCTTTCACTTGTAACGGACTTTTAGCTTTGTTTTTCACCCGAACATCTGGTATCTACGTGTTCCTTAGCTCCTTATCTTTCAAATGAGACTACTCCCGAAAAGCTAGACCAATTTTTGGGTCTGCAAGAGGTCCCGCAAATAACGCTAGCGCTGCTGTTTGCGCATTGGTGGCTAATCTTTTGTGGGGTCCCAACTTGTTTACGTTTACTTCCGGGATTTACGATTGACATGTCCTTGTAGCCAATGAGGAAAGCTTTCGAACAAGGGGTGGGACAATGGTGTCCTGTCTTATCTTGGGCCTGGACCATTGTGCGTCATGGCAGCCAAAAGACGCTCTCGAAGCTGCAATGAATTTACACTCATAAAAAAATAACTTTGACATTTAAAAAAGAAAAACACACATAGATTAGTAACTTATAAGTACCAATAATAAAAAATATTGTTTTTATGATGATTAAATGTAAGTAAAGATATTTGGCACAATTTGGCACACTTGTGCCAAATTGTGCCAAATGTGCACTACTTGATGAAAAGGAGAAACTGCATAAAAACTATAAAACTTAGAAGTCTGAAACTTTAGACAGTTGTTGTCAACAACACAATGAACAGAGGGTTTGAATATTGTGAACTTACAATGAAGTATGCCTTTTTTAGGGCCTTTAGACATTGAAAATGTTAGGCGAGGCTAAAAAAATTGGGGTTTTTTCCCTAACTTCAAAGGATGCAGAGGAAAATAGGAATGACAAACATTATTTTAGTGTTTTTTTACATAAACTAGAAGGCTCTAGCTTTAAAATGATGCATCACACAAGCATGTGAGATGTAAGATGTGTTTTTAAATAAGCAAAGACATTTGGGTATGCCCAACCATTGTGCACGAGCCAAAATGAGGCGGTTGTTAAGAGGCTAAAAAGTGAAAACAATAAAAGGTATCTTATGTGCAGTAAAGGTATTTTATGTACAATTTCAGTACAAAGTTGCAGTTCTATTGCAGGCAGTCATTTAGTGACTCATTGTACAGTCTGACCCTTTGCACTTGTGTGTTCCAGGCCGGTCACATCGAGGGTGACACGTCCAGGAGCGGCACATTCCCAGTCAACTACGTCCTCAAACTGACCTGAGGACGATGCTGCGCCTCATCCTGATCTGGGACCAGCGCCGCCCTCGGATCTGTGACATTACGTGGACTAGAGGACACCTGCGGTACTGCAGCCGAAATGCAGTGAAGAGATATCCCCAAAGACCTCAGTGTTCACTGAAACAGCTCGTCCTCAGAGACAGAACTACAGCTGTCACAAAAGGGGACTCTGTGGGGATTTTAGACTCTTACAATCCTGAACTTTTATTCCTTTGAAATCCATTGGTTTTCTATAAATCCAAACTTTTGTGCCACAAACTCGTCCCGCTCGAATCAGCAGCGATCTGATTGGTCAGAACGCTCACATGTTCCTCTGGTCCTGCGGAAGTAGAACCACCGCACCTACTGCTAATGTTTGGAAGCATGAGCCAATGAGCACAGGCCACTGATCTGAACGGGCAGACATCTTGGAGAGACCAGGGGCAGACATCTTGGAGAGACCAGGAGCAGACATCTTGGCAATACCAGGGGCAGACATCTTGGAGATACCAGGGGCAGACATCATTGAGATTGATGCCTCCCTGGGACAGAACAAAACACCACAGCGGGTCGTCTGGGAGAGCCTGTTGAGGACATTGGTCTCCCACACACGTGTATTACACAGTGGATATCTCAGACAGTCGTTCAAAGGGAACCACACCTGATATTTTGCACTTTCAGCCTAAGAAAAGGGACTGCACTGGCCTCCTGTAGGGGGCAGTGTTCGTGTTGGTCCAGCGTCTTCAGTATCATGTTTTTTGAACCATGGAAGGTACTTTTTATTCTGTGTATTTTGTTCATGTATTTGTTTCCTTTTCTTTGACACTTATTGTAAACATGTTTTAAAGTAGATTGTTGTAGTTGTTTAACTGTAGCAGACATGACGTAATAATGGCTTGTTTTGAGTATTTTTTTTATCTTAATGTGAATTTTAAAACAAGATTCTCCATGAGACAAAGCCATGCAGTCTTATTTAACAAAGTGTTGCTTTATTTTCTCATTCCAAGAGAGACATTTCTTGTTTCTTTTTAAAACAAGATAATTTTGATCATTGACCAATTGGCAAATGTTGTTTTAAAGTGGTTCTCACCCCCGCTCCTCGGAGCTTACGTTACTCACATTTCCTGTTCAAATCTTCCTCTAAATGGGCGTAGCCTGAAGGACTAAAGGGGGCGTGAACGAGACTGGGCCGTTTACATTGCTCTGGGCGGGGGGCTACTGACGTCAGGTCCAACTTGCAGACGTCAGGTCCAACTTCTGTGCCAGTGTTGGCGCCAGATTCAAAATTCAAATGTAGTAATACAGGTCGCCAGCAGATGGCGCCTCACAGACGGTTTTAGGCAGAAAGTCTAACTTTCAACTAATTTGCACCAAAGTGACAAAATTATGACCAGGATATGTAGACAACACTATTGGACACTCATTTATACCATTTATCAGCAAAAAAAAGTGGATTTGAGGGTGAGTTGTCCTTTAAGGCTCAGTTTAGATAGATACTTTATTGATCCCTGTAGGAGATATCCAGGTGTCCAGTAGCAGCAGAAACACGTGCATTCATAAAAACAAAACTAATAAATACATAATTCCAGTAGTATTAAAAGTATAGTATTAAAATGCAACAGCACTTCAGGTCAGAGCAGCACATTCACATCCCATCTTTAAAGAGCGACTAAACACCAAATAAATTTTTTTTAACTCATAAACTGCATAAGTATGTTTATTGTAGTGCTGTCTACATATCCTGGTCATTTTTTTGACATTTTAGTTCAAATTAAATAAAATATCACTTTTGAGCCAAAAAACGCTGTGTGGTGCCCTCTCAACCTTTTTGGTGGTACTACATTTGAATTTGGTCCTGGCCTCTCCATTGACTCTGAAGTTCTCTATGACATCAGTTGTTTTGTGTGACGTCAGTCTGTCAGAGCCAGTGATGTGAACCCATTCAACTCTCACAAACGCCCCAGCTGCAGTTTGGAGTATTCTGGCGCCATCTAGTGGATTAAAATTAAATTACATGAGTCATTCTGAGATTATTGAGTGTGATTAGGTTCAGGTGTGTAGCTTTACAATTATCTTAGTGTGTAAACAAGGGTGGAATGAGACTTTCTGGTCTGTAAACTATTTCTTTAAGCAGCAATGACAACTGTCTGTTTTTTTTTTTTGTGACAAGTGAGCTGTCAATCACAGCCCAGACCACGCCCAACTCTTGTCCCTTAGTCCTCCAGGCAACGCCCTTTTTAGAGAACATTTTCAAATCTTCATGTGGGCGGAATAAGGCTGGGCACAGGTGTTTAGTCGCTCTTTAACATTTGAGAAGTCATTTCACCCTAACTGCCTTAAGCAGAAGGTGCAGCAAAAATACATTCATTTAGCAAATTTTTAACATTTTTGGCTTATCTTTTATCCCTTTTTGCAGTGCAGTGTTGGTTCATTGTGGTTATCAGACCCTGAATGCCACAGTATCTGCGTCGGAGCGTCCTGAGTTCAAGTATCAGACTGTTTTTTTCATAACCTTCTAAATGCAAATTACACTTCTCACTTCTGCCACAGGAGGGCAGTGTTTGCTCATTCAGATCTCATCTTTTACATTTGAGAAGTCATTTCACATCATAACTGTTTTAGAGCCAAAATGTGTAGCAAAAACACATCATATTTGTTCTTTGAGGTGAGAACACACAACATCAGGGACTCCGGGGGCAAATGGGGCAGAGTCAGGGGTGCTCAAACTAATGAACTCCCACAGACGTCCTGAACCAAAGCTGGCTGTGATGTGTGTGTTTACGTGTTTTTATTGTACAGAGACAAGATGTACCGTCCTAAACTCGTCTTATTTACAGTATCCTAGCAACCGAACCAGAAAGTGAAAAGTTCCAAGGCTCTGATTGCGTTCTCTACTGAAATAACAATGGTTTTATTCAGCACTTTTTACTCCATACACAATGGTGATAAACTAATATTGTAGCCACAGCTGCCCTGGGGCGAGGCAACTAGTCTGTACCATCAGCCTCTCCCATCACCAACCATTCACACACACACACCAGACTCATTCTAATGGGTGAAGTGTCTTGCCTAAGGGTACAGTGACAATTTGGCACTTTACAGCCGCAGTCGGCCCACTGTGGCACCTGGTGTTCTCAGAGGTCTCCCATCACAGTACTAACCAGGCCCTGCCCTGTTGCTTCAGAGGTCAGATATTAGGAAATGTCAGAGAGATTGAGAATTTTGGAATTCTCCTTTTGAGGAACTGTCTTTAGGAACCTTTTATATGTCATTGGAACTACTCTACTCTACTCTACCCTCTACTCTACTCTACTCTACCCTCTACTCTACTCTACTCTACCCTCTACTCTACTCTACTCTACCCTAACCTACTCTCTACTCTACTCTACCCTACTCTACTCTACCCTAACCTACTCTACTCTACCCTACCCTAACCTACTCTCTACTCTACTCTACTCTACCCTAACCTACTCTCTACTCTACTCTACTCTACCCTAACCTACTCTCTACTCTACTCTACCCTACTCTACTCTACCCTAACCTACTCTACTCTACCCTACTCTACTCTACTCTACCCTAACCTACTCTCTACTCTACTCTACTCTACTCTACCCTACTCTACTCTACCCTAACCTACTCTACTCTACCCTACTCTACTCTACCCTACTCTACTCTACCCTACCCTAACCTACTCTCTACTCTACTCTACTCTACCCTAACCTACTCTCTACTCTACTCTACTCTACTCTACCCTAACCTACTCTCTACTCTACTCTACCCTACCCTACCCTGCCCTACCCTATACTCTACTCTACTCTACTACTGGTATCGTATCCTAGCAACCGACCCATATCCATGGAAATTCCTTGGTAACCATGGCTTCCAGCAGCACTCTGGCCAATCACTAGATAGAACCAGGCCCAAGAGGAACTAAAGAAGGACCTGGTACCGGTCAGTGGATACGAGTAGAGTAGAGTAGGGTAGGGTAGGGTTGAGTAGGGTTGAGTAGGGTTGGTGGAAACGGGGCTTGAGTTAATGTCGTACCGTATTGTTGTGTTTAGTTGTGGTCCTTCAGGCCAGTCTTTGTAAATATGTTTTTTATCTGTAAAATACGTGCCCATTGGAGCGGTTTGTGTTCTTTTGCTGCGATACTTTGTCAATAAAGAACAAAGTTTATAACACTCTTACTCATCATCAAATTATCTTTTTTCTTTTGCTATTCCCACCCCCTCCCCATTAACCCCCACCTTCCCCAATTCGTCTCCAGACTAACAAGAGTGTATTTTACAGATTTATGTTTAGCTTAGCATAAAGGGTTAAAAAAAAAAAAATCCATATGTAGCCCTTGTTTGCTCATTATTTACTTGAGTGGGCTAGGGGTTCCTTAATGTGTGTACTCTCGTACTAAATAGTCTGACTCTAGAGCTATTTATACTATTTTGGGTCGCAGGGCTATACTTTTACTCACACAAAGATATTCCAAACAGATACAAATACCTGAATTAACTTAACACCAGACACGAGGTAAGTATAAAAAAATCCCCTCCCTTTAATTACAAAAGAAAATAATAAAGCTCAAAATCCAGTTAAATGCACATTTCAAGGGACTGTAACATAAACAATGCTCACAGACACAATGAATACATTACAATTTAACTAAAGCCGGCATCTATATACACCCTACGTTGCAGGCCTGTATCGATGCTTGGGTGCGGTGAGACCAAAAACTGATGGTCGCTTCACTCACTGAGCAAAATAAACAAAAAGAAAGAAGGTACCTTGTGTACAGCGTTTATTCAACCGATACTTGTAGTTCAGCTCCGGGTCTTTCCTCGCGTTGTCCTCTCAGTGCTCAGCGGGCTCCGGGCAGTGGTGTGGCGTCAATGGCGGTGCAGGTGCGCGGTCCCACCCGGTCCAATACGTCTCGTCCCGTCGCTGTTTCCCACGTAGCCAGAGGTACTCTGAGCGTCGCGGGCACTCAGAGTGCTATCTGGGATCCGTCTGTCTCGTTGTCCAGTTCGGTAACGATCCACCGTCAGCTTCTGCGGTTTCGCGGGGTTGGCGAACCGTAGCCTCAGTCTTTGATATGAGGTTGTTTTTTTACAATCTCAATAAGCAAGTAATAAGCGATGAAAACACAGTCCATAAGCTCCGAGTTGAAACTACTGAGTTTTTATCGCACTTCACTCTCCCGATGGCTTCTTTTCTTTTTTTAAAAACACCACGGTACAAAAAAAACTTTCTCTTAAAACACGACGTTAGCTCACACTGTCCTCCGAGCATCTCTCGAACTTTCTCCCTCTCTCTCTCACACAACGTTGCGTCACCTTCACTGACCATCCAAGAATCAGAAGAAACAGCACTTTTACACATGTACAAAATAGTGAATAAAATAAATATGAATTATGCATTTTAACACTTGTAAATATGTTTAATCATTTTTAATGAACAATCTATGTTAATGAATTATCAAAAACAATGAATTCTCTTTAACCTTTTTATAACTTAACTATGTTACCACTTTTATTCACTTTTAACACTGCGATTATTATCCGGGTTACACATAAATCAATGAAAAAAAGAAAAGGAAATTAAATAAAAAGGGAAGAATGCAGGTATAATGACACACACACACTACATGAAAAAAATAAACTTGTTGTCAATAACTGTCATTAACTGTATTTAATTGTGTGTAAATAAATAAATAATTAAAGAAATTAAATTAAATGATTCAGTGTTCAAACAAAGAATTCTCCTGGCTGTGTGAGCTCAGACTGTTTACAGATAGACAATGCTAACGTGCTAGCAATAGGGGGCTGTGGGCACTTCCCAGTAGCGGGTTAGCGTTCGCATAAGGAAAGTGCTCATGGTGAAGTTTGGCTCCAACTCGCTCTGGCTCCCATTAACTCCGATGTGAAAAAACTGCAGTAAATATGTTTTTATAGCTATATTATCTGCTAAATAAAGTTCCCAATTGGATTTCTCCATTATATAAAGGTCAATAAATCAAAAAGATAAAGTGGTGATGATCCAGGACGCTCGACGTTCAACCACATTTATGGACATTGGTCTCTCTCCCTTATGTCAATGTCAAATTTATTTCTATAGCACAATATTACCACAGTGCAACGCCGCTTAGTTGCCAATTTCTCTATGTGCTTTTGTCGTTTCATTTCCTGTGAACTGTTTGATTCTCTGATCTGTTGTTGGTGAATCGGCAGTTTTGTGAAGTCCTCCACGATAACTACTGTTGTGAATTAGGGCGATACAAAAATACATTGAAGTTCAAAGGTCAAAAAATCAACCTCTAAGACTGAGCAACATACAATAGACTAAAACATGGATCTTTCAACTGTGGCACTATGGTATGGTAAGTCTGGCCCCCTCCTCCCTGTTCTCCCTCCCTCCCCCCCCCCCCCCCCCTCCCTGTGTGGGACGTCCGGTCCTGCTGCAGACAGATGCCGGAGCACTCACCTGCCCTTACGTAACCGCCCTGCTTCAGTCTGCCTTCTCCACGTCCTGAATTATCCACGAGGAGAACACTCACCGTAATGTAGCTTTCTGAAGCGGAGGATCAACATAAGCCTTCGTTAATCTGCTTCATCAAGAGCGGCGTCTTTCTGCTCCATTATCATCCATTATTAGCACTTCCTCTGCTCTGCACGGCCATCAGCCTCATCTCAGAAATGGAAAATAATATGTAACAGTTATTTCTCAGTGCATGGAGCTCGGTAAGCTTCTCCTGCTCCCACCGGCTTAATGCACCGCACCGGAACATCTCACATCTGACTCCACTCCCGACATTATCCAAAGGCGAGACTGAGGAGCCAGAGAGAGTCTGAAGGTAAAGGAGACAGTAGTGAGAGAGTCTGAAGGTAAAGGAGACAGTAGTGAGAGAGTCTGAAGGTAAAGGAGACAGTAGTGAGAGAGTCTGAAGGTAAAGGAGACAGTAGTGAGAGAGTCTGAAGGTAAAGGAGACAGTAGTGAGAGAGTCTGAAGGTAAAGGAGACAGTAGTGAGAGAGACTGAAGGTAAAGGAGACAGTAGTGAGAGAGTCTGAAGGTAAAGGAGACAGTAGTGAGAGAGTCTGAAGGTAAAGGAGACAGTAGTGAGAGAGTCTGAAGGTAAAGGAGACAGTAGTGAGAGAGACTGAAGGTAAAGGAGACAGTAGTGAGAGAGTCTGAGGGTAAAGGAGACAGTAGTGAGAGAGTCTGAAGGTAAAGGAGACAGTAGTGAGAGAGTCTGAAGGTAAAGGAGACAGTAGTGAGAGAGTCTGAAGGTAAAGGAGACAGTAGTGAGAGAGTCTGAGGGTAAAGGAGGCAGTAGTGAGAGGATTATGTAAAGATAGATCAATAATATTAGATTGAGCATTTTTTGCAGCTACCAGTGGCCAGTGCAGATTTTTGGACTAGTTTGACCGGTCGATGGCCTGTTTAAATGTCCAATGATAAAGGCCAATCTTTAGAAATAGAAAACAGGGCTGGGGCCAATGATAATGCGCTGCTTTGTAATAAAATATTGATGGAATAGGTTTATTTTGAAGAGAACGTGAACGTCAAACTGTGTCGGTTACAGTATCTTAAGTATTTGTCTGTCTATCAGCTAGAATTCTGACCCTCACAGACCTGTTAGTCCGCCAATAAAAGTCCTTCCCCACTCCACTGTATTATCCTGAATCAGATGCACCCGTGTGAGGCCGTTAGCTGCATAAAGACGCCTGTCCATCCCATACAATCAGAAAGACACAAACATTCAGCATGGCTAAGAGCAAAGAGCTGTCCAAAGACACCAGAGACATAATCGAACAACTCCACAAGGCTGGAAAGGGCTACAGAGAAATTGCCAAGCAGCTTGCTAAAAAAAGGTCCACTGTTGGAGCAATCATTAGAAAATGGAAGAAGCTAAACATGACGGTCAATCTCAATCGGAGTGAAGCCCCATGCAAGTTATCACCTAGTGGGGTCTCAATGATGCTAAGAAAGGTGAGGAATCAGCCCAGGACTACACGGCAGGACTTGGTCAATGACCTGAAAAGAGTTAGGACCACTGTTTCCATGGACACTGTTGGGAATCCACTAAGACGTCACGGTTTGAAATCATACATGGCACGGAAGCTTCCCCTGTTTAAACCAGCACACGTTAAGGCCCGTCTTAAGTTTGCCAAATGACCATTTAGATGGTCCAGAGGAGTCATCGGAGAAAGTGTAGTGGTCAGATGAGACCAGGATTGACCTTTTGGGTCATAATTCCACTATGCGTGTTTGGAGGAAGAAGAATGATGCGTACCATCCCTACTGTGAAGCATGGGGGTGGTAGCATCATGCTTTGGGAGTGTTTTTTTGCTCATGGGACAGGAAAACTGTTCTGTATTAAGGAGAGGATGACTGCAGCCATGTATTGTGGGATTTTGGCCAAAAACCTCCTTCCCTCAGTCAGAGCATTGAAGATGAGTCGAGGCTGGATCTTCCAACATGACGATGACCCAAAGCACACAGCCAAGAAAACCAAGGAGTGGCTTCGTGAGAAGCATATCAAGGTTCTGGAGTGGCCCAGCCAGTCTCCAGACCTAAATCCAAATGACCAACCTGACTGATCTAGAGAAGATATGTGTGGAGGAGTGGGCCAAAATCCCTGCAGTCGGCGCAAACCTGGTGAAGAACTACAGGAAACGTTTGACCTCTGTAATTGCAAACAAAGGCTACTCTACCAAATATTAACGTTTGTGTTCAAATACTAATTTTCTGCTGCATCACACGAATAAATTGTCTGGATTTTTCTCTTTAGGTTGTCTCTCACACAGTGGACATACACCTACCATGGACATGTGTGTGTGTACGTGTGTGGGTGTGTGTGTGTGTGTACATGTGTGTGTATACTTACGTGTGACCAGGTTGAAGGTGCGCTTGTCCTCGGGGTTGGGTCGTACCTGGCAGGTCAACAGGTTCAGTTTTGCTGGTGGTCGGTTTATCTGAAAACCAACCAATTACCACATTATTGTAAAAGTCGCCAATCAGCTGACCTCCTCCTGTCTGGTTGCTCTCTCTGGGTTGCTCTCTCTGGGTCTCTCCCTCTGGTCTCTCCCTCTGGTCCTGGTCTCTCCCTCTGGTCTCTCCCTCTGGTCTCTCCCTCTGGTCTCTCCCTCTGGTCTCTCCATCTGGTCTCTCTCTCTGGTCTCTCCCTCTGGTCCTGGTCTCTCCCTCTGGTCTCTCCCTCTGGTCTCTCCATCTGGTCTCTCTCTCTGGTCTCTCCCTCTGGTCTCTCTCTCTGGTCTCTCTCTCTAGTCTCTCTGGTCTCCCTCTCTGGTCTCCCTCTCTGGTCTCCCTCTCTGGTCTCCCTCTCTGGTCTCCCTCTCTGGTCTCCCTCTCTGGTCTCCCTCTCTGGTCTCCCTCTCTGGTCTCCCTCTCTGGTCTCCCTCTCTGGTCTCCCTCTCTGGTCTCCCTCTTCTCTGGTCTCCCTCTCTCTGGTCTCCCTCCTCTCTGGTCTCCCTCCTCTCTGGTCTCTCTCTCTAGTCTCTCTCTCTCTGGTCTCTCTCTCTGGTCTCTCTCTCTGGTCTCTCTCTCTGGTCTCTCTCTCTGGTCTCTCTCTCTGGTCTCTCTCTCTGGTCTCTCTCTCTGGTCTCTCTCTCTGGTCTCTCTCTCTGGTCTCTCTCTCTGGTCTCTCTCTCTGGTCTCTCTCTCTGGTCTCTCTCTCTGGTCTCTCTCTCTGGTCTCTCTCTCTGGTCTCTCTCTCTGGTCTCTCTCTCTGGTCTCTCTCTCTGGTCTCTCTCTCTGGTCTCTCTCTCTGGTCTCTCTCTCTGGTCTCTCTCTCCTCTCTGGTCTCCTCTCTGGTCTCCCTCTCTGGTCTCCCTCTCTGGTCTCTCTGGTCTCTCTCTGGTCTCCCTCTCTGGTCTCCCTCTCTGGTCTCTCTCTCTGGTCTCTCTCTCTGGTCTCTCTCTCTGGTCTCTCTCTCTGGTCTCTCTCTCTGGTCTCTCTCTCTGGTCTCTCTCTCTGGTCTCTCTCTCTGGTCTCTCTCTGTCTCTCTGGTCTCTCTCTCTGGTCTCTCTCTCTGGTCTCTCTCTCTGGTCTCTCTCTCTGGTCTCTCTCTCTGGTCTCTCTCTCTGGTCTCTCTCTCTGGTCTCTCTCTCTGGTCTCTCTCTCTGGTCTCTCTCTCTGGTCTCTCTCTCTGGTCTCTCTCTCTGGTCTCTCTCTCTGGTCTCTCTCTCTGGTCTCTCTCTCTGGTCTCCTCTCTCGGTCTGGTCTCCCTCTCGTCTCCCTCTCTGGTCTCTCTCTCTGGTCTCTCTCTCTGGTCTCTCTCTCTCTGGTCTCTCTCTCTGGTCTCTCTCTCTGGTCTCTCTCTCTGGTCTCTCTCTCTGGTCTCTCTCTCTGGTCTCTCTCTCTGGTCTCTCTCTCTGGTCTCTCTCTCTGGTCTCTCTCTCTGGTCTCCCTCTCTGGTCTCTCTCTCTGGTCTCTCTCTTCTGGTCTCCCTCTCTGGTCTCTCTCTCTGGTCTCCCTCTCTGGTCTCTCTCTCTAGTCTCTCTCTCTGGTCTCTCTCTCTAGTCTCTCACTGGTCACTCACGGTGCTGTGGGAGATGGTCAGGCAGCCGAACTTCACCCCACACTTCCTCTTCTGCCACACTTTACGGATCCTGCACTCGACAAAGACACACAACACGCCACAAAGATACATCACATTATGTCCCAGAGTCCACTGCGTGGGCGTGCGTGTGTGTGCGTGTGCGAGAGACCAGAGAGAGAGACCAGAGAGAGAGACCAGAGAGAGAGACCAGAGAGAGACCAGAGAGAGACCAGAGAGAGAGACCAGAGAGAGAGGCCAGAAAGAGAGGCCAGAAAGAGAGACCAGAGAGAGACCAGTGAGAGACCAGAGAGACCAGAAAGCGAGACCAGAGAGACAAGAGAGAGAGACCAGAGAGGGAGGCCAGAGAGAGAGACCAGAGAGAGAGACCAGAGAGAGACCAGAAAGAGAGATCAGAGAGAGACCAGTGAGAGACCAGAGAGAGACCAGAGAGAGACCAGTGAGAGACCAGAGAGAGACCAGAGAGAGACAAGAGAGGAGAGACCAGAAAGAGAGACCAGAAATAGAGACCAGAGAGAGAGAGAGAGAGAGACCAGAAACAGAGACCAGATTAAGTTTCTCTCTGGTCTCTCTCTCGCTCATCTACAGCTTCTCGTCACTACATTTATTCCTGCATGTATCCTACCTCTATAGATTCTAACTAACAAAGTGTTTTAAAAAGATTGATTTGAAAAACATCTAGTTCCAGTTGGAAAGTTAGTTTTAAGAAATCATATTTTTAAGATGTTTTTGACAGCACTTAGATTACAGTTTAAGCCACAAAGGTGAATAAAGAGTAGAAGGAAAGGCTGGGAAGGACAAGGAATGAGGTTTTGTTCGTGAATTTGGATGCAGCCTAAGTCCCCACAAGACACATGAAGCCGGGAATGGGTGTGACGTCAGGTTTGGCTCTGGGCCTTTGGGTCCAGCTGCTTTTCATTAGCATCAGATGAAGATTTACAGCGGAGCGCTCTCACAGCACGAGGACCACTCTGCTACATTTCCCAAACGCTGAGGTTTAACTGGAACTGCCTCGTCAGCCCTGTTTCCCCTACCCTACCCTACCCTACCCTACTCTACCCTACTCTACCCTACTCTAACCTACCCTACTCTACCCTACCCTACCCTACCCTACCCTACCCTACCCTACTCTACCCTACCCTACCCTACCCTACCCTACCCTACCCTACCCTACCCTACCCTACTCTACCCTACCCTACCCTACCCTACCCTACTCTACCCTACCCTACCCTACCCTACCCTACTCTACTCTACTCTACTCTACTCTACTCTACTCTACTCTACTCTACTCTACTCTACTCTACTCTACTCTACTCTACTCTACTCTACTCTACTCTACTCTACTCTACTACGATTGGAAGTATGTCCACTGGTCCTCTTTCACCAGTACCAGGTCCTTCTTTAGTCCCTCTTGGTCCTGGTTCTTTCCAGTGGGGGCGGGTCCCGGCTCAAAAGTGGCCAAAATAACGTGCGCTGACATGCTGCAATACCACCCCGGGCCAATGGGGGTGGACCCAGAAGAAGAATTAGCCAATGCTAACATATAGCGTTGGCTGACCTCTCGAAAACGTCTTTACAGGATGGTCCAAAAGTTGGCTCTTGGCCCAAAGCTCCGTTCCACATGTGTGTCAATGCTGAGGGGGGTGTTTTGGACCACTCTAGTTTACTCGCTGTGAATTTTTGAAGTCTCTCGTTCAAATGAATGGAGCTTGCCCCGGATGACGCATGCACAGATGTGTTTTTTCACAATTTTCTTGTGGGCGGGACCACTCGCAGCCATTTTGGATAGCTCCAGTAGAGCACTATTTTTGGCCCAGTAGTTAGCACGGCGGAGATAGGCATGACTCTGTCCGTTATTTTTTACAGTCTATGGTTCTATCCTGGAGTAGAGTAGAGTAGAGTAGAGCTCTAAATGGACTGAGGGCTTGTGACCAACACGCTAATACATTAGGAGGAGGTGAAGTCAGCTGTGTGACATCACTTGTGTGTGTGACATCACTCACCCGTCACTCCTCTTGAGCAGGAAGCCGGACTTCTCGGTGCCGTACTGCTTATTGCCCTGAGGTTGGTGGATGCTGTAACCGTTACCAGAGTTCTTCCTGTTCAGGTACTCCTGAAACAGCACACACAGAGTCAGTGTGTGTGTGTGTGTCTGTGTGTGGCCAGTGTGGTGTGGTCACAGAAGAGTTGTGTACCTCTTTGCCTTCCACCTGCAGCAGCAGCCTCAGAGAGTCCCGGAGCTGTGTGAGCTGCTTCACCTGCTCATCCTGCTCCAGCCTCACCTACACACACACACACACACACACACACATATTTTTAAAACATTTTTTTTATAAGTGGTTTGTCTGTAGACCAGGTCTGAGGTCAGTGATGAGGTCAGTCATGATCCAGGACAATAGCATCCCTCTCTCTCTGAACCAAGTTTGTTATTACTGCATTTCCTGTTTCAAACTGTTTGATTCAATGATCATTGTTCATGATTAATGTTCATTCCTTGAAGAAAGCAATGTAAATGTTTTTTTATGTTCTAAAAAGTAGAAGCATGTAGTGTATAATCTTTTTAACCAAATGGGTTCGATGCAGTTTGATGGAAAAAGAACCAAAAACCAAGTGACAGAGAAGCAGCAATGAGGAAGATTTAAGGACTAGGTTAAACCCGGAAACTAAAGCACTGCTCGACACTGTGAACGCACTCTTCCAGGGTTTACAAGATCGATGGGCTGTGGTCGTGGAGGTCATGCCTGTTGCCGTAACAACCCATGTTTCTGTGATCTCACATGTTTGCACAGTACACAGAGACTGAGCTGTGTCCAGAGAGAGGAGCAGAGAAAACACTTTCATTACAGCGCGACTGCAGACTGAGAACCAAGGCGAGTTTATTTGTATGGCACAGTCCATACACAAGCAACAAGTGCTGAACAAGTCATACCGCTTTTAATATATGAACGTTGTAGAAGCTTTTTCAAGACAATTTTAGCTCCATACATATAAAATGCTGCCTCCCCATGTTTAGTCCTGACTCTGGGACCAGCAGGAGACCAGTCCCTGTGCTCCTCAGAGTCCCAGCAGGAGACCAGTCCCTGTGCTCCTCAGAGTCCCAGCAGGAGTCCAGTCCCTGTGCTCCTCAGAGTCCCAGCAGGAGACCAGTCCCTGTGCTCCTCAGAGTCCCAGCAGGAGGCCAGTCCCTGTGCTCCTCAGAGTCCCAGCAGGAGACCAGTCCCATGAGAGACTTGTAACAAACAGAGCTGATGTAAAGTCTACTCTCTACATATGAACCTCTGTCATATCTTATTCTGCTTCAAACCAGTTTCATATCTGTTTTTTTTTTCAAATTATTTTAAATCTCTATCTTAATTTTTTGACCAATCACGTGATACTGGATCAAACACCGACAAAGGAGAATGTAACGGCATTTTTAGTCACTCATTGTAACTGAGAAAGGTTTGATGTGGTTCAAGTCCATCCCTGTGCAGTCGGCTCATTTATTTGTCTATCGTTCCAAACCACAACAGCAGTCGTATCGGAGGACTTTAGAAAGTTGTCGATTTACCAGCAACAGATCGGAGAGTCAAACAGTTCGAACACAGGAAATGCAATAATAAGAGCCAAAAAAGTGAGAAACCTCAGGGGTCGAGCTTAAGACCTGTCCTGGGATCTCAGGGTCCCAATGCTAAATGAGACCCAATGATCAATCACTTTACTGCATTAAGTTGATAAAAGACTAGTTCTTAGTAATTTGACGCTGATATTTCTTCTCCACAGACTAGGGAGCAGCATTCAGACCAGCGTTGATGAGTGCGTACCGTGTGGAGGGAGGTGGCGAGCTTCTCAATGAACGGAGACAGGTTTTCTGCAGCCTTCAGTCCGTCCTGGAAGAAACTACAGAGAAAAGAACCGGCTCAAACCCCTGTGTGACATCACAACTGTTCCTTTGGTTAAAACACACAATCTGTTCATTCCTACAGCCACAGGTAGAGGGTGGGGTTTGTTTTATGGTCTGGGTTTGGGTCTGGACCAGGAACAGGACTGTCCTGAGCTGGGTCTGTGGTCTGGGGTCTGGACCAGGATAAGGACTTTGTTAAGCACTTTGAGTTGCCTTGAGTATGGGTTAGGGTTACAAATATATTGCCTTTCCTGATCTGGGTCAGGACCAGGACTGACCTGAGCTGAGTCTGGTAGACCTTGATGAGGCTCTGGAGGAGGTCTGGACCCTGGCGCAGCTTCAGCTCCTGGATCTTCAGCAGGTACTGCAGGGAAGAGCAGAGGAGGTGGAACCATCAGAACCACAGCAGGACTACAGCCGGACTACAGCAGGACTACAGTAGGACTACAGCAGGACTACAACAGGACTACAGCAGGACTACAGCAGGACTACAGTATTACTAAACTTTACTTTACTTTACCAGCTCCTAAACTATCAAAAGCACCACCCAGATTCAAACAACCTCTTTCTGAAAAAACACCAAAGTACATATAAAGAATGTGATCTGACCTCACACATCTGCAGCTGGAAGTTTCTCCGCTCTCTCTCCAGGTCTCTCTCCTGCTGCTCCAGGGCATCAGGGCGAATCAGGCTCAGGGCTCGGCTCTTCTCTCGCCGCTCCTTCTCCAGTTTCCCTCTGTCCGAGCACAACGTCCCACTTTAACACCAGGACTCACAGAACTCTGAACCAACCCCAACTCCCAGAGCAGTCAATTCAGTCTAGGACCAGTCTAGGACCAGTCTAGGACCAGTCTGGGACCAGTCTGGGACCAGTCTGGGACCAGTCTGGGACCACATTGTAAAGCACTTTTGGTGACCTTGGTCTGTAAAATGCGCTCTCTCTGTGTCTCCTCTCTGTGTACCTGTGTCTCCTCTCTGTGTACCTGTGTCTCCTCTCTGTGTACCTGTGTCTCCTCTCTGTGTACCTGTGTCTCCTCTCTGTGTACCTGTGTCTCCACTCTGTGTACCTGTGTCTCCTCTCTGTGTACCTGTGTCTCCTCTCTGTGTACCTGTGTCTCCTCTCTGTGTACCTGTGTCTCCTCTCTGTGTACCTGTGTCTCCTCTCTGTGTACTTGTGTCTTCTCTCTGTGTACCTGTGTCTCCTCTCTGTGTACCTGTGTCTTCTCTCTGTGTACCTGTGTCTCCTCTCTGTATACCCGTGTCTCTCTTTGTGTACCTGTGTCTCCTCTCTGTGTACCTGTGTCTCCTCTCTGTATACCCGTGTCTCTCTTTGTGTACCTGTGTCTATATGGTTCCTGGTTCCTGTGTGAATTCTATTTGGATTTTTGAGTTACGGGACTGGACTTTTTCTATCATTAAATCATATTATTTTGGCATTCCTGTATTTCTGATAGTTTTAGTGAAGGGCCTCCCCAGTCCAGGGTCCAAGGTCCAGTGACCAGGGACTGGGGCTCCCCCTAGTGTTTGTTCAGAGCATGTGCACCAGAGGTCAGAGGTCAGACACTTACATTTTCAGGTCGTACTCCTTCCAGCTTTTCTCCATCTGTTTCTTCATTTCCTGCAAAACACTCACTTCAGTTATTACAAGTATATTTACAAGTATTTGTATCTGTGTCTCACTGTGACTATTTGTACTTGTGTCTCTCTATATGTACCTGTGTTTCCCTGTGTCTATAAGTACCTGTGTCTCTCTATGTGTACCTGTGTCTATATTAGAGCTCTGCACGGGCCTATTATCTGGGCCCAAGGGGGTGGCGCCCCAGCCCGGCCCGGCCCGGCCCGATATGGTTTCTGAATTTTCAAGCCCGAAACCCGCATCAAGACCCACCCAACTTTATTCTTTTTCTTTTTTTACCTTCCATAACAATGTTTTAGCGTAGTATATAGTGCCGCGCACTGATATGAACACAGGCTTGGCCAGAGGGCGGAGTTATACATGGTAGTGATGTGTTGCAATGAGTTCTGTGTGTGCGGAGTGAACGGCTGCAGCTGTATGATACACAGCTGTATGATACACAGATGTATGATACACAGCTGAGGGTGAGTGAGGGTGTGAGTGAGGTTAAGTGAGGGTGAGAGAGGGTGAGAGAGGGTGAGAGAGGTTGAGAGAGGGTGAGAGAGGGCGAGAGAGGGTGAGTGAGGGTGAGAGAGGGTGAGAGAGGGTGAGAGGGTGAGAGAGGGTGAGAGAGGGTGAGAGAGGGTGAGAGAGGGTGAGTGAGGGTGAGAGAGGGTGAGAGAGGGTGAGTGAGGGTGGAGAGAGTGAGGGTTGTGAGTGAGGGTGAGAGAGGGTGAGAGAGGGTGAGAGAGGGTGAGAGAGGGTGAGAGAGGGTGAGAGAGGGTGAGAGAGGGTGAGAGAGGGTGAGAGAGGGTGAGAGAGGTGGAGAGAGAGGGAGAGAGGGTGAGAGAGGGTGAGAGAGGGTGAGAGAGGGTGAGTGAGGTTGAGAGAGGGTGAGTGAGGTTGAGAGAGGGTGAGTGAGGGTGAGAGAGGGGTGAGTGAGGGTGAGAGAGGGTGAGTGAGAGTGAGGGTGAGAGGGGGTGAGTGAGGGTGAGTGAGGTTGAGAGAGGGTGAGTGAGGGTGAGAGAGGGTGAGTGAGAGTGAGGGTGAGAGGGGGTGAGTGAGGGTGAGTGAGGTTGAGAGAGGGTGAGAGAGGGTGAGAGAGGGTGAGTGAGGTTGAGAGAGGGTGAGAGGGTGAGTGAGGTGAGAGAGGGTGAGTGAGGTTGAGAGAGGGTGAGTGAGGGTAGAGAGGGGGAGTGAGAGTGAGTGAGGTTGAGAGAGGGTGAGTGAGGGTGAGAGAGGGTGAGTGAGAGTGAGGGTGAGAGGGGGTGAGTGAGGGTGAGTGAGGGTGAGAGAGGGTGAGTGAGGGTGAGAGAGGGTGAGTGAGGGTGAGTGAGGGTGAGAGAGGGTGAGAGAGGGTGAGAGAGGGTGAGTGAGGGTGAGTGAGGGTGAGAGAGGGTGAGAGAGGGTGTGAGGGGAGGGTGAGAGAGGGTGAGTGAGGGTGAGTGAGGGTGAGTGAGGGTGAGAGGGTGAGAGGGTGAGTGAGGTTGAGAGGGTGAGTGAGGGGGGTGAGTGAGGGTGAGACAGGGTGAGTGAGGGTGAGAGGGGTGAGTGAGGGTGAGAGAGGGTGAGAGAGGGTGAGTGAGGGTGAGTGAGGGTGAGAGAGGGTGAGAGAGGGTGAGAGAGGGTGAGAGAGGGTGAGAGAGGGTGAGTGAGGTTGAGAGAGGGTGAGTGAGGTGAGAGAGGGTGAGTGAGGGTGAGTGAGAGTGAGTGTAGAGGGTGAGTGAGGTGAGTGAGGTTGAGAGAGGGTGAGTGAGGTTGAGAGAGGGTGAGTGAGGTTGAGAGAGGGTGAGTGAGGGTGAGGTGAGAGTGAGTGTGAGTGAGGGTGAGAGAGGGGAGAGTGAGGGTGAGGGTGGAGGGTGAGTGAGTTGGAGGTGAGGGTGAGAAGGGTGAGTGAGGGTGAGTGAGGAGGGTGAGAGAGGGTGAGTGAGTGAGTGAGAGAGGGTGAGGGTTGTGAGTGAGAGTGAGGGTGAGAAGGGGTGAGTGAGGAGGTTGAGAGAGGGTGAGAGAGGGTGGAGAGAGGGTGAGTGAGGATTTGAGGAGGGTGAGAGGGAGGGTGAGTGAGGGTGAGAGAGGGTGAGTGAGGTGAGGGTGAGAGAGGGAGAGAGGGGTGTGAGAGTGAGGGTGAGTGAGGGTGAGAGGGTGGTGAGTGTGAGGTGAGTGATGTGTGTTGAGTGAGGGTGAGAGAGGGTGAGGAGAGTGAGGGAGTGTGAGTGAGGAGGGTGAGTGAGGGTGAGTGAGGTGAGAGAGGGTGAGGGAGAGGGGTGAGTGAGAGGTGAGTGAGGGTGAGTGAGGGTGAGTGAGAGGTGAGAGTGAGAGAGTGAGTGAGGTTGAGCGAGAGGGTGAGTGAGGGTGAGAGAGGGGAGTGAGGGTGAGGAGGGTGAGGGTGGAGTGAGTGAGGGTGAGTGAGGGGGTGAGAGAGGGTGAGAGAGGGTGAGGTGAGGGTGTGAGAGAGGGTGAGAGGAGGGTGAGTTGAGGGTGAGTGAGGGGGTGAGTGGAGTGAGGGTGTGTGAGAGGGGAGGTGAGTGAGGGTGAGTGAGGTTGAGGAGAGGGTGAGTGAGAGTGAGTGAGAGGTGAGAGTGAGGGGTGAGTGAGGGGGTGAGTGAGGGTGAGTGAGAGTGAGAGTGAGGGTGAGGGGGGGAGTGAGGGTGAGTTGAGAGTGAGTGAGGGTGATGAGGGGTGAAGTGAGGGGTGAGGTGAGGAGTGAGAGTGAGGGTGAGAGGGGGTGAGTGAGTGAGAAAGGGTGAGTGAGGGTGAGGTGAGAGTGTGTAGAGTGGAGTGTGAGGGGTGAGAGTGAGTGAGGGAGTGAGTGGGAGTGTGAGAGTGAGGAGGGTGAGTGAGGGTGAGTGGGAGTGAGTGAGAGTGAGTGATGAAGAGGTGAGTGAGGGAGGTGTGTGAGAGAGTGAGGAGGTGTGAGGGGGTGGTGTGAGGAGTGATGAGGTTGAGAGAGGGTGAGATAGAGGGTGAGTGAGGGTGACGAGGGTGATGTGAGTGAGGGTGAGGTGAGGGTGAGGGAGGGTGAGTGTGAGGTTGTGAGAGGGGAAGGGGTGAGTGAGGGGAGGTGAGGGAGTGAGAGTGAGTGAGGAGGGTGAGAGTGAGGAGGGTGAGTGAGGGTGAGGTGAGGGAGTGAGAGAGGTGAGAGGAGGTTGAGGTGAGGGTGAGAGAGGGTGAGAGAGGGTGAGTGAGGGTGAGAGAGGGTGAGAGAGGGTTGAGAGAGGGTGAGTGAGGGTGAGGTCCGACCCTGGCCGATGTGTGTGATGTCACATTAGACCCTCACCAGGCGACAGTCCCGGAGCTCTGTCTTGAGGACGTTGTCCAGAGGGAAGGACATGATGTTGTTCAGATTTTGCACCTGGAAACCAGCAACAAACACATCAGGCAAGCTTCCATCTCCTACAGGACATGTGAGATCAAAGACACATGGTACAGGTACAGGTACAGGAGCAGGTACAGGTGCAGACCAGGTACAGGTAGAGGTACAGGAGCAGGTACAGGTGCAGACCAGGTACAGGTGCAGACCAGGTACAGGTAGAGCTAGAGGTACAGGTACTTTATTCTACTCAAGTTGCGAGTTTCCATTACGCATTAGTATCTGGTACTATATCCTAGTAACCAACCCACAACAAACCAGTATCCAGGAAAATTCCTTGGTATCCATGGCAGCATCACACTGACCAATCACTGTCAGTTAGAACACTTTAGTACCAGCTCGACCTGGATAGAACCAGGAATAAGAAGGACTAAAGAAGGAGGAGAGTAGAGTAGAGTAGCAGTTTCCCTGGGTACCGGTTTATTGTGGGCAGGTTGCTAGGATACGGTACCAGAGTAGAGTAGGGTAGCCTCGATGGTGGCTACTCATGTCATAGTGTGTTTCTCACCAGGTTCCGCAGCAGTGCACTGATTTCCCGCGTGAACACAGACAGGTTGAGGAAGCCGGTGTACACCTGGTCCTGGTGGTCGTTCTGATGCTGGTCCTGATGGTCTTGATGGTCTTCCTGGTGGTCGTTCTGGTTCAGGTGACTGTTCCCCAGAGTCTCCAGGAGCTCCATGTGCTGCTCCAAGTGCTCCACATGAGCTGCATCAGACAGAGTGAGAGGTCAGAGACTGGGCAATAAAATAATAAAACTATATATTACAATAGAAACATGTTCGGTATCAATAGAAAACGGCAGCGATAGAATGTTCGATAGTTTAACCACACTTCCAAAAAACAGGAAGTAAAGCTAAGTCATACTGTAAGTGCACGGCCTTCTGGGGGACGTAGGCAGAGACTTCTCAATCTCTCACAAGCATGAACCGCAAAACATTCTGGGTAAAGCAAAAAAAAAAAAAAAAACAGTCTGCCTATGATTGCACCCTGCGTAGCGTCCAGGTGTCTTTAGATTCTGTTTCAATGTCGTGTCAATAGTCATGCACGTCTGTGGGAGTGATAGCATGAGGCAGTGGACACAGCGACTCCATGCATGCGGCAAAAGCAAGAGAGAAACTTGTCCACGTTTATCAGAGAACCGCACGCAGCTGTAACGGGGACACAAGACACTCGAAAACAGCCAAAACAGGAGCTAAACCAGGAGCTAAACAAGGAGCTAAACCAGGAGCTAAACAAGGAGCTAAACCAGGACTAAACCAGGACTAACAATGGGACACACACTGTGCTTGTGACCATATGCTTCCATCTTGAGTTCTCATTCCCCCGTGACTGTAAACAGCAATCAATAAATTATCAATATAGAACGTTATGAATCACTTCTATTGTGATATAGTTTTCAGCCATATCACCCAGCCCTAGGGCAGGGAGACAGACTACTGAAGGACTGCTGAAGGACTGCTAAAGTACTACTGAAGGACTAAAGAAGGACTTAACCAGGTTGTGAAGAAAACTCGTCAGTGTCTCCTCTTTCTGCGGAAACGCAGAACATTTCTCAAAAACTCTAAGACTGCTGAACTTTTATCTCTGAACCATTGACTGTTTGTTTGTTTGTTTGTTTGTTTGTTTGTTCTGGGACTGTGTGGTTTGGTGACATCACAGACAAAGAAAGGAGACCAGAGAGAAACCAGAGATAGAGACCATAGAGAACAGAGAGTGAGACCAGAGAACTCCGGGCACTCCGCTCTGAAAGAAGACGGAGCTCTGTTCTGGAGATTCTTTATGAATCCAGACTCTTAAAATAATCAAAAAATAAATCTTCTGTCCTCTGGAAAAGCCATGTTCAAGCTTCTTCCCTCTGGCAGAATATATTGTTTGCTGAGATGCAGGACTTCTGGATATGCTAACATAGGGCTGGGCAATAAATCTAATTCAGGCAATTAATCGGCTTTTGAAAAAAATCGAATGTGTGAAAAATGTGAAAATCGTGACATCGAATGAAGGATATTGTGAGAGTTCCAGCATGCAATATCAGCACAGTCTGTACAAGACTTTTATAAAACGTATTGGGGGAAACAAATTAAAAATAATTTTGAAACTTGAATATTGAGCGGAAAGATCCAAAAATATTTTTAAGGGCAAACTTTAATGAAAACACATGATTTCAATTTAAAATCGAAATCGTCCAAAGCAGAAAATAAGGTTTAACTTTTTTGCCATATGGCCCAGCCCTATGCTAACATGCTAACAGCTTCTTTCAGCTCTGCTCAGTCTAAACAAAGCCGTTTAATGATCTTGTATTATTTAGACTTCACAGTGATAATTGTTTCTTGCACTTTTTTAGCTTGTTTTATTTATGTACTTGTCTGGCGCACACTGGGGACTTTTGCACATGTATAAACAAACACACACACACAAACACACACACACACACACACACACACACAGTCTACTCCAAACAACAGACCTGTAAGTGCTTAATGACCACTCTCCCAAAGGTTGTGACCCCAGGACCTTTGTCTGGTTTAATGGAGGGGAAGCGCCACCTACTCATCACCTGGTACTCATCACCTGGTACTCATCACCTGGTACCCATGGGTGTCGTTGTTAAAGCTCATAAAGAGAGATGGGAGCTCTGTGGAAGCGTGAGCGTCTATGTTGGTGGGAGGAAAACTAGTTCAGGAAGTCCCATCCTGAAAGTGTCTGTGCTCTAGTCTGTCATTACAGTCCATGGGTGTAATTTACCAATCTCTATCAAACAAATAACTCTATATTGGACTCACGCTTCATGTGGAATTAGACGGAGATTAATTCATTATGTGCAGTTCATTAGCAACAGATAAGTGCCTTTTAACAAGTCAATTAGTGAAAAGCCAGCTCTGTTTTAGTGCCATCTCTCACCCTTTCTTGAGCAATTAAAAAACAAAACAAAGTACTGACGTCCCCTCTCTTCTCCCCATCCTCTCCTCTCTCCCCCCATCTCTTCCCCTCTCTCGCTCTCTCCCCTCACCCCTGTCCCTCTCCTCTCCTGCTCTATCCTCTCCTCCCTCCCCCTCACCTTTCTCCCTCTCCTCTCCTCTCTCTTTTCTCCTGGTCTCTCCTCTCTCCCCCTCACTCTCCTTTCCTTTCCACTACTCCCCCTCTCCTCGCACCCTCCTCCTCTCCTCTAACTTTTGGAGCCTGACATTTGTAAATATGAGTATAAACGGGAATCACAAAAAACAACATATAAAACATATGGAAACAGGTCTAGTGCTGGTCCGAGACTGGTTCAGAGCAATCTCAGTTTGGTACATAGTCCTAGTTACCATAGCAACAACACGCTGACTACTTGCAAAAGTTACCCTTTAGTTTTGCTGTGTTTTCGTTTCCAGTTTTAGCATGTATTAAAGATAAAAACTGAAGGACTAAATCTTAATAGTAGTGAAAGTGTTTTGACGCCACAAAACTCCGCTCGATAGTCCATGTGCAGAGGGCGGACTCGGCTCTGGGCCTGGGCCAGGACACACACACAGTCTCCCTCCTCCACCCGCAGAGGGGGAGGGGGGAGAGAAGGAAAGCAGAGGGGGGAGGAGCGGCAGAACGAGGCAAACTCACTCAAAGGGTTTAATGAAGGACAGGCCTCGCGCACGACCTCTGCCTCAGCGTTTCTGCAAATCTGAATCCGACAGGCCAGAGGTCAGAGGTCAGAGCTGTTTACGGAGAGACCACAACCGGCACCGAGGAATGAGACGTTTAGATTTCACTCAAACTAAACCATCATCATACAACATGGTCTGGTTGGTAGTGCAGTGGTTAGCGCTAAAAACATGCTCACTAGGTTAAATCCTCCAGCTCCGGTAGTCCTGACCAAGCCGAGCATCAACATCTGGAGATGGGTTCCCGGGCGCTGTTTCTACGGCGACCACTGCTCCCGACATAAGCCTTAGCGGCATCAGGATGGGTCAAATGAAGAGGATGAAATGCTTTTCTGGACACTCAAAGACGCTTTACATGTCATTATTCATTCACTCCATACACAGTGGTGATAAACTACTACTGTAGGCACAGCTGCCCTGGGGCACACTGACAGAAGCGAGGCAACCAGTATGTGCCATTGGCCCCTACAACCACCACCAACCATTCACACACACACCAGACTCATTCTGGGCAATGGGGGTGAAGTGTCTTGCCTAAGGACACAACGACAGTTTGGCACTTTACAGCCGCCCCACTGTGGCATCAGGTATTACCAGAGATTAAGTGTCTTGCAAAGGACACAACGACAACAACATCAGTGAGAGTCGGTGGAAAAGGTCCTGTAGTGGGCTCGAACCCACGACATTCAAAGGAAAATTCTCTACCAACTGAGCTACTGTCGCCCCTAGTCAAAAAGGTAGTAAAATGTATTAATTAAAGATCATTTGTTAAATTATAAATCCTTTGACGAGCTACTTGAAAGGGGCTGGCAAGCTACTGGTAGCTCACAAGCCACAGGTTGGACCCTCCTGCATCGGAAAACCTCTAAAAACCCCCCAGTGGGAGAAAACTGAGAAAACGTAAGGACAGACGGCTGTAGATCCAGGACTCTTTAAAACACAAACCCTTGCATTGTTCTTATATATTTAACAACATATTATATACAGTACATAACTATGATTGCCTTCAGGGGTCTTCTATCTCTTGTAGAGTTTCTGAGCTCCACCCTCCGGTCTCTCATTTCCCTTTGACTCTTGTTATCCGGGACACGATCCATTTCCCAGTTCTCCCTCCGTCAGATATTACAGGAACTGGTCCATATGATTGTACTTAGAGCAGGGAAAACACAGACGTGCGGAGAGCGGCTCCAGTTGCCTCATTCTGGGACCGCGTGAGTCACTGGGCTGCAAATGAAAAGCAGACAGACAAACAGAGTCCAGGAGGGAACCCATCCAAGACCTGTAAATCTGAGGGACGGAGCAGCGACGTCTCAATTCATACATTTATTTGTTTAGCAGTAAATTACAGCAGCGGTCGTCTCAGGGGATTTTACGTTTAAGTTAATTATTCTACAACAACGGATCTGCAGTAATAACAAACACATACTGTAGAGCCATTGGTTCATAGGGAGCAAGATTATCACTGCCCAGATATGTGCAGAAATGTCCAGAATCATCGCTGTCCAGGGGTGTCCAAACTTTTCAGTAGGAGGGCCACTTTAGTTCACCAGACTTGTCCATGGAACGACAACATTCTCAAACTGTTTTCTCAGGCTTTGAGTTTTATCACCAGGGCTTTACAACGAGGTGCAGCATGACTATATTGGTGGAGCTGAAGTGGGCTGGATGACTCTGTGAAAGTGCCTCAATGAATATTAGCAAGGCAGAGTGCCACATAAATTGAAACAGTGGGCCGCATTTGGCCCTCGGGCCTTGGTATTTCTGCATCAGAGAGGAACCACTCAGAAACCCAGTGGGAAAAAACTGAGAAACATCATTGATCCAGGATTGAGGCTGTAGATCCAGGACTCAGGCTGTAGATCCAGGACTGAGGCTGTAGATCCAGGACTGAGGCTGTAGATCCAGGACTGAGGCTGTAGGTCCAGGACTGAGGCTGAAGATCCAGGACTGAGGCTGTAGATCCAGGACTGAGGCTGTAGATCCAGGACTGAGGCTGTAGGTCCAGGACTGAGGCTGCAGATCCAGGACTGAGGCTGCAGATCCAGGACTGAGGCTGCAGATCCAGGACTGAGGCTGCAGATCTAGGACTGAGGCTGTAGATCCAGGACTGAGGCTGCAGATCCAGGACTGAGGCTGCAGATCCAGGACTGAGGCTGCAGATCCAGGACTGAGGCTGTAGATCCAGGACTGAGGCTGCAGATCTAGGACTGAGGCTGCAGATCCAGGACTGAGGCTGCAGATCTAGGACTGAGGCTGCAGATCCAGGACTGAGGCTGCAGATCTAGGACTGAGGCTGCAGATCTAGGACTGAGGCTGCAGATCCAGGACTGAGGCTGTAGATCCAGGACTGAGGCTGCAGATCCAGGACTGAGGCTGTAGATCCAGGACTGAGGCTGTAGATCCAGGACTGAGGCTGGGTCCAAGACAATATAAATCACCCAAAGGCATAGGAATCATGTGTGACTAGAACCGGGTCAAAATTGGAAAAGTCTATTTGACGAATGATTCATAGAGAAGATATAAAACACACACACACACACACACACACACACACACACACACACACACACACACACACACACACACACACACACACACACACACACACACACACTGGAGGCACTTTACAGAGCACTGTGTGTATGTAAACATGAGGCAGTGACTCAGCCATTCTACCCACACACAGGGGCCGACCACAGGGGCCAAACAAGGGGCCCCTCTCAGCGCCGCGAGCACAGAGGCCTCTGACGTCGCCCGAGGAAAACGCAGCAGTGTGTCGCGGCTTCAAGGATCCATTTCATCAACCGTCAGAGCGACATCGCACACAGACCACAGCTTTACGTCTGTGACAAGTCTCCACATTATTCGACAAGAAAAACTCGTCATAGATTAACAAAAAACAATTACATGTCCACGGTCCCAGAATGCCTCTCTGTGACCATGTGACCTCTCCTCAGCTCTGGTCCACAGCAGGGTTCCAGTCCTCTCCTTAAGCTCTTTCTGTTACTGTTCTGTTGGTTCCAAAGCCTGGAGATCATTGGATGTTTGTACTCCTTTGATGAAGGGATCTCGACGGATGGCTGTGGCTAACGGTTCAATGAATGTTGTGAAAAGGAGAGGAGAGAGTGGACAGCCCTGTCTGGTCCCCCTGTGAACTGTGAAGCAATCTGATGTGAGTCCATTAGTGGTTATTGTGGCGGTCGGTGAGGTGTATAGAATTTTTACGCAATTGATAAATGACTCCCCGAAGCCGAATCTCTGCAGGGTGGAAAAAAGGAAGGACCAGTTAACTATATCGAAGGCTTTTTCAGCATCTAGAGAGACTATTGCAGTTGGTGTTTTTTGTTGTTGGGTGTGGTCAATTATGTTGAGAAGTCTGCGAGTGTTTTTTGAGGAGAATCTGCCTTTGATGAAACCTGTTTGATCTGGGTGGATGTTGGTTCAAAAGCCTGACGCTGGACGACAAAATTCAGTTCTGTTCCATTTATGCACACGCAGAGATGCACACGCTATTTGACTTTGCTCACGCAGTTTAGCTCCTGGATGAATATAAAGAACCGCTACATTTCAAACGGTGCATCTTCTCACTCTTTTAAGTAAAGAAAGACAACGTCTGGGTTCAAAACAGAGACAAAAACAGGAAAACCAAGAATCGAGCATTTGTGGAAAGTTTTATCATTCATTATTTGTGACTTATTAGAATCATTAAGGAATTTTAACCAATTATTATTTCTGTAGAGTATGAGATTGATATAATTTTGTCCAGCTGCTGGGATTGAAACTAAACTGGATAAAAAGCAATGAGGCTTTGTTTTGTAGACCGGGTTTAATAAAGTTTACTTGTAATGACTTATTATTACGTTCAGGGTTCAATGTTTACTGACAACGAAATGGATTGGTTGGTTACTTGATAAAATTATCTTTAAAACCACTAGGCCCAGACTGTCTTAAAGTTTGATTTCCACTGGGCGGCCACACAATACTTTTTCCCTGGCCCAAATGACCCGTGGGCCGCGTGTTTGTAACAACAGGTGTAGAGTCTGTGTGTTCTGCTCTGAGATTCTGCTGCTAATTAAACGTCCTTTGGGATTAATAAAGTTTTATGAATCGGCCCCTCCCCTCTCTAAACTCTAAACTTCTCAGTATTTTGGTGACTTTAGTCCAGGGGCCGACACTCACAGTAAAAGAGTTTGAGCTTTAAATGAGGTCTGAGAAATGCATATGATTCACATTGGATAGAAGTTTACTCAAAGGAAGTCACAGAAATTGTCAACTTTCCAGCAGCAGATTAGAAAAGCAAACATTTAAACACAAGGAAATACACACAAAAAAAATCAGTCAGTGCTCACCCAGTCCAGAGGTGTGCAGCGCTCGGATGTTCTTCTTCATCCTCTGCAGAACGCTGTGGTCCGTCTCCAAGGCCTGGAACCAACAGGTACAAGTTACAACAACAATAATAATAATAATAATAATAATAATAATCATATTAATAATGCATCAGTTTTATGCAGCACTTTTCTGGAAACGTCTTTATTCACTCACTACATACACAGTGGTGATAAACTACTTCTGTAGCCACAGCTGCCCTGGGGCACACTGACAGAAGCAAACCAGTCTGTGCCATCGGCCCCTCCCACCACCACCAACCATTCACACACACACACCAGACTCATTCTAATGTGGGGGAAGTGTCTTGCCTAGGGACACAACCACAGTTTACAGCTGCCCCACTGTGGCACCCGTTGTTCCCAGAGCTCTCCCATCACAGTACTAACCAGGCCCTGCCCTGCTTAGCTTCATAGGCCCTGTCACCTGCAGGTGGCGCCACAGAGACTGTAGCCTGAAAACAATACCCTTCTGTGTTATTGTCCAGACTTAGAATAGTATTAGTCTAGTATACTAACTGATAAATAATCCAATATTTTATAGGATTTGATGAATTTTTTGTTTTAGAATTAATTTATTCAATGGCTCTATGTGTTTTTTATCATTGTGTCTCATGTGTTTGATTCTCTGATCTGTGTTGGTGAATTGACAGTTTTGACCTCCGAGATTCGGGTCTACTCGGGTCCACTCGGGTCCACTCGGGTCCACTCGGGTCCACTCGGGTCCACTCGGGTCCACTCGGGTCCACTCGGGTCCACTTGGGTCTACTCGGGTCCACTCTGGTCCACTCTGGTCTACTCTGGTCTACTCTGGTCTACTCGGGTCCACTCGGGTCCACTCGGGTCCACTCGGGTCTACTCTGGTCCACTCGGGTCTACTCGGGTCCACTCGGGTCCACTCGGGTCTACTCTGGTCTACTCTGGTCCACTCGGGTCCACTCGGGTCCACTCGGGTCCACTCGGGTCCACTCGGGTCCACTCTGGTCTACTCTGGTCTACTCTGGTCTACTCTGGTCCACTCTGGTCTACTCGGGTCCACTCGGGTCCACTCGGGTCCACTCGGGTCCACTCGGGTCTACTCGGGTCTACTCGGGTCTACTCGGGTCTACTCTGGTCTACTCTGGTCTACTCTGGTCTACTCTACTGTTGTTGTAAGTGCAGACCGTGATGCAACAGTGTTTTTTCAGGCGGTTGCCGTGGTGATGATGAATCAGCTGTAGGGAAAGCGGTTGGTCCGGTGTGTGTTTACGCCCAGAGAAACTGTCTTTCTTACTTTCACACGTCTCACTGCGGAAACTAACCACACGCTCTGCAGATGTCGTCTGTGGCAGGTGGATGTTAGCATTGTTAGCATTGTTAGCATCTGCCTCCAGGTTTAGCTTCATTCACATGAAACAGCCCGTACAATACAGAAGCACACGTGTCACTGGGTCACTACTGAGTCCCAGAGCCTCCTGCTGCTACAGATGTAAAAACACACCTGTATTTACTGCACCAGAATGTACAGGATATTACACTTGCTTCTTCATTACGCTAAAGCTTTATCTTATGTTAGCATAGAGTTATTGTTCATTTATCTTGTGCTGTGTGCTCAGTAATATTGTTGTGTAACTGCTTCATCTTAATCTCCTCTTTTAGGCTTTAACTGCAAAAAAGACAAAATAAGGGCTAATAATTGCTTGAATCGAGTCGTTTAAAAAAATATATATATCTTAATCGGAGCACATTCTGACTGTTTTAAAACAAGATTCACCAATAGGGCAAAGCCAGGCAGGTCAAACTCAGGCCCGTGAGCCAAATCGGGCCGAGAGTCCACTGTTGGTGGTCTCTAAAATGAATGTCTGAATGAAATATAATCATTACAGTAATTTGCAGCATTGATGGCGATGGGCTACTATGGCATGTTATACTTTATTTTAAAGCTCAGGAAAACAACCATATCATTGTATCTGTTCTGAAATGTGAACTGAAATGTAATTAGAAGAGTTAATATAACTATGCCCAAGGACTACAGGGATTAGGGACTACAGGGAAATTTGCAACAAACTGAAGCTAGAATCTGACTTTGACGCATGTCAGGCAGATCAGGCAGGACAAAAACCAGGATTTAAATCAAGAATGAGGAAAGACTAATTCAGCAATTTAGCATTAGCAGGACTAAAGCAGGACTAAAGGAGGACCAAAGCAGGACTAAAGGAGGACTAAAGCAGGACTAAAGCAGAACTAAAGGAGGACTAAAGCAGGACTAAAGGAGGACTAAAGAAGGACTAAAGCAGAACTAAAGCAGGACTAAAGGAGGACTAAAGCAGGACTAAAGCAGAACTAAAGCAGGACTGAAGCAGGACTAAAGCAGGACTAAAGCAGGACTAAAGCAGGACTAAAGCAGGACTAAAGCAGGACTAAAGCAGGACTGGAGCAGGACTGGAGCAGGACTGGAGCAGAACTAAAGCAGGACTGAAGCAGGACTAAAGCAGGACTAAAGCAGGACTAAAGGAGGACTAAAGCAGGACTAAAGCAGAACTAAAGCAGGACTGAAGCAGGACTAAAGCAGGACTAAAGCAGGACTAAAGCAGGACTAAAGCAGGACTAAAGCAGGACTAAAGCAGGACTAAAGCAGGACTGGAGCAGGACTGGAGCAGGACTGGAGCAGAACTAAAGCAGGACTGAAGCAGGACTAAAGCAGGACTAAAGCAGGACTAAAGGAGGACTAAAGCAGGACTAAAGCAGAACTAAAGCAGGACTGAAGCAGGACTAAAGCAGGACTAAAGCAGGACTAAAGCAGGACTAAAGCAGGACTAAAGCAGGACTAAAGCAGGACTGGAGCAGGACTGGAGCAGGACTAAAGCAGGACTGGAGCAGGACTGGAGCAGGTCTAGTTCAGGACTGAAAAGGTTCCTGGAGCTGGCAGGTGCACAGGGACAACAGGCTGGAGCATGCGACCGGGGGAGGCAGGTTCAACAGGCTGTTTGTTTACGAGCAAACCGCTAACATCTTTACAGGAGTCTCCCAAGTGCTGCTCCCCGTTTCCCGGGAGAGTTTACACATGGTAAGACCAGACGTACATGTAGGAAATGATCATGGACCAGAGTTTACACATGGTAAGACCAGACGTACATGTAGGAAATGATCATGGACCAGAGTTTACACATGGTAAGACCCAGACGTACATGTAGGAAATGATCATGGACCAGAGTTTACACATGGTAAGACCAGACGTACATGTAGGAAATGATCATGGACCAGAGTTTACACATGGTAAGACCAGACGTACATGTAGGAAATGATCATGGACCAGAGTTTACACATGGTAAGACCCAGACGTACATGTAGGAAATGATCATGGACCAGAGTTTACACATGGTAAGACCAGACGTACATGTAGGAAATGATCATGGACCAGAGTTTACACATGGTAAGACCAGACGTACATGTAGGAAATGATCATGGACCAGAGTTTACACATGGTAAGACCAGACGTACATGTAGGAAATGATCATGGACCAGAGTTTACACATGGTAAGACCAGACGTACATGTAGGAAATGATCATGGACCAGAGTTTACACATGGTAAGACCAGACGTACATGTAGGAAATGACCATGGACCAGAGTTTACACATGGTAAGACCAGACGTACATGTAGGAAATGATCATGGACCAGAGTTTACACATGGTAAGACCAGACGTACATGTAGGAAATGATCATGGACCAGAGTTTACACATGGTAAGACCAGACGTACATGTAGGAAATGATCATGGACCAGAGTTTACACATGGTAAGACCAGACGTACATGTAGGAAATGATCATGGGACCAGAGTTTACACATGGTAAGACCAGACGTACATGTAGGAAATGATCATGGACCAGAGTTTACACATGGTAAGACCAGACGTACATGTAGGAAATGATCATGGACCAGAGTTTACACATGGTAAGACCAGACGTACATGTAGGAAATGATCATGGACCAGAGTTTACACATGGTAAGACCAGACGTACATGTAGGAAATGATCATGGACCAGAGTTTACACATGGTAAGACCAGACGTACATGTAGGAAATGATCATGGACCAGAGTTTACACATGGTAAGACCAGACGTACATGTAGGAAATGATCATGGACCAGAGTTTACACATGGTAAGACCAGACGTACATGTAGGAAATGATCATGGACCAGAGTTTACACATGGTAAGACCAGACGTACATGTAGGAAATGATCATGGACCAGAGTTTACACATGGTAAGACCAGACGTACATGTAGGAAATGATCATGGACCAGAGTTTACACATGGTAAGACCAGACGTACATGTAGGAAATGATCATGGACCAGAGTTTACACATGGTAAGACCCAGACGTACATGTAGGAAATGATCATGGACCAGAGTTTACACATGGTAAGACCAGACGTACATGTAGGAAATGACCATAGACCAGAGTTTACACATGGTAAGACCAGACGTACATGTAGGAAATGACCATGGACCAGAGTTTACACATGGTAAGACCCAGACGTACATGTAGGAAATGATCATGGACCAGAGTTTACACATGGTAAGACCAGACGTACATGTAGGAAATGACCATGGACCAGAGTTTACACATGGTAAGACCCAGACGTACATGTAGGAAATGATCATGGACCAGAGTTTACACATGGTAAGACCAGACGTACATGTAGGAAATGACCATGGACCAGAGTTTACACATGGTAAGACCCAGACGTACATGTAGGAAATGATCATGGACCAGAGTTTACACATGGTAAGACCAGACGTACATGTAGGAAATGACCATGGACCAGAGTTTACACATGGTAAGACCCAGACGTACATGTAGGAAATGATCATGGACCAGAGTTTACACATGGTAAGACCAGACGTACATGTAGGAAATGACCATGGACCAGAGTTTACACATGGTAAGACCAGACGTACATGTAGGAAATGACCATGGACTAGAGTTTACACATGGTAAGACCCAGACGTACATGTAGGAAAGGATCATGGACCAGAGTTTACACATGGTAAGA